CATGATTCAACAGCAGGACCTATGCTGCATGTCGAAGGTATTGCGCAACTATGCTGTTTGAAGGTCACGATTCTGAATGTTGAAGCTATTGAGAAGGGCACTAGCACCTATGCCTGCACTATACAATCAGTTATACTTATATAAAAAAATCTCTGTCAAGCAACAATCCTTCATACAAGCACAAAATTAATATTCTGCACTCAGATTCAAATACCCTCACATGGGCAAGGAGTTCTTACCTGAGGCGGATGCCGGTGCTCGAACCTTTGCCGCCCTACTGGTCGAAAGCGAGAGTGCTTTGCCGTTCTAGTATGCGTACGCCGTGAGGTCGCCAGCGCATCCACGGCGCGCCGTCGGCGCCCGCCGGGGACACGGTGGTGCGCGAGGACTTCCCACTCGCCGCCACCATGTTCCCGTCATTTGGAAGACCTGCACATCGGCGAGTGCACCCTCATTTGCCGAGATGAGCGCCACGCCGGACACCATGCCTCGCCTCAAACACCTCCGCTTCACCGACGTCGGTGTGAGGACGGATGACACCAAAGCCGCCATCACCGTGTTTCGCCGATGACCTCGAGGACTCTCCGCATGTCATCTTTGTTGGTGCAGCAAGACCGAATCACCATCGAGCCGCGGTTGTTCGTGTGTCTTTCGGGCGCCACAAAGCAGTGTTCACCAAATACTTCGTTATTGCGCTTACGCGCACCTAAAGTTGGCGGGATTCGAGTGGCGATGTGCTATGACGACGTGCGCGATTGAGGCCGTGGGCCGCCTCTCCGATGTCGCCATCGAGGTTGACTTGGTAGGACGCGCGACGCCGACTCCGATTGGCACGGAACCCGGCACGTGACAATACAAGAATGTGACAAACTTGTGACCGACATCCTTCAAGGGCTTATGCAGGTTGCGTACCGCTTACTTGGAGAGATGTGACGAGGTATGTATATACTCGACTTTAATTTCAGACTGTTATTACACACACAAAAAAAATCTCAACTAGATAGGTCGTAAATTTGTTTGACTTTCGTGGATATATCTACAAATAAAAATTCTCAGCCTTGTTTTGAAAGTCATTGATGGTCCAAGTTTAAATTATTCTGCTAAATGTTTGTAAACGGGTCGAGCATCTATGAGCCAAGCTAGTCTTTATCTTATATGCTATTAGTAATTATTAGAGACCCCAGAGAAGGCTCCTAGCTAATGTTCATCAAAACTTGCCAAGAAAAAAAAGGATCAATTCAAAAAATCCTTATAATAATAAAAAACATTTAATTCTAAATTTGGCACATCCTATTAATATCATAATCCATAATAGCCATGGGCTCTATTGCGTTTTTTATTTGTACAATAATATGACATGCGGGCCGACAGGTCAAGCCAGCCCATATGTAGAAGACCGATAGAACACCTCTCGGCTATGGTGGCAGGCAGCGGTACCTGTCGGTTTCTGGAAGGCCGACAGGTGACGTCATCCCTAAAGCAAGTACTCTGTGCAATCCATGGTCACGGACACGATTCCACAGCAGGACCTATGCTGCATGTCGAAGGTATTGCGCAACTATGCTGTTTGAAGGTCACAATTCTGAATGTTGAAGTTGTTGAGAAGGGCACTAGCACCTATGCCTGCACTATACAATCAGTTATACTTATATAAAAAAACTCGCTGTCAAGCAACAATGCTTCATACAAGCACAAAATTAATATTCTCACACTCGAGTCAAATACCACCACGTGGGCAAGGAGTTGTTGCTCGAGGCGACACCGACGCCTGGTCCCTCCATTGCCGCCCGCTATGGTCGAAAGCAGCAGTCTGCTGCCGTTACGACGCCGTGAGGCCGCGCGCTTCACGGGCGCCGCCGGCGCCGCCGGGGACACGGTGGTGCGTGAGGACTTCCCGCTTCGCCGCCACCGTGTTCCCGCCATCGGAGGACCTGCACATCGGCGTGTGCATGCTCCTTTGCCGATAAGAGCGTCACGTCGGACACCATGCCTCGCCTCAAACACCTCCGCTTCACCGGCGTCGGCGTGAGGAGGACGGATGACACCAAAGCCGCCGTCACCGTGTTTCGCCGATGACCTCGGGACTCTCCGCATGTCATGCCGTTGGTACAGCAAGACCGAATCGCCATTGAGCGGTTGTTGTTCGTGTGTCACCTCGGGCGTCACGGCCGTGTTCACAAAATACTCGTTGTTTCGCTACGGCGCGCACCAAAGTGGCGGTGTTCGAGTGGCGATCTTTGCTATCTTGACGAGGTGCGCATTGAGGCCGTGGGCGCCTCTCGATGTCGCCATCAAGGTTGACGCCGGAGGACGCGCACGCCAACTCCGATTGGCACGGAACCCAAGTACGTGACAATAAAACAATGTGACAAACTTGTGACTGACATCCTTCAAGGGCTTATGCCTGGCTTGCAGCCGCGCACTTGGAAAGATGTGACGAGGTATGTATATACTCGACTTTAATTTTAGACTGTTATTACACACACAAAAAAATCTCAAGTAGATATGTCGTAAATTTGTTTGACTTTCATGGATATATCTACACATACAAATTCTCAGCCTTGTTTTGAAAGTCATTGATGGTCAAGTTTAAATTGTTTTGTTAAATGTTAGTAAATGGGTCGAGCATCTCTGAGCCAAGCTAGTCTTTATCTTATATACTATTAGTAATTATTAGAGACCCTAGAGAAGACTACTAGCTAATGTTCATGGAAACTTGCCAAGCAAAAAAAGGATCAATTCTAAAATCATTATAATAATATAAAACATTTAATTTTAAATTTGGCATATCCTATTAATATCATAGTCTATAATAGCCATGGGCTCTATTGTGTTTTTCATTTGTACAATAATGTGACATGAGGGCCGACAGGTCAAGCCGGCCCATATATAGAAGACCGATAGGACACCTCTCGGCTGTGGTGGCAGGCAGCGGTACATGTCGGCTTCTAGCAGGCCGACAGGTGACGTCATCCCTAAAGCAAGTACTCTGTGCAATCCATGGTCACGGACTTGATTCAACCGCAGGACCTATGCTGCATGTCGAAGGTATTGCGCACCTATGTTGTTTGAAGGTCACGATTCTAAATGTTGAAGCCATTGAGAAGGGCACTAGCACCTATGCCTGCACTATACAATCAGTTATACTTATATATATAAAAAATCTCTGTCAAGCAACAATGCTTCATACTAGCACAAAATTAATATTCTGCACTCAGAGTCAAATACCCCCACGTTGGCAAGGAGTTCTTACTTGAGGCGGACACCGGTGCCTGGTCCCTCCAGCTGCCGCCCACTACGGTTGAGCAGCAGGGGTGCTGCCGTTCTGGTATGCCGTGAGGCCGCCGCGCATCCACGGCGCCGCCGTCAGTGCCCTTCGGGGACACGGTGGTGCGCGAGGACTTCCCGTTCGCCGCCACCGTGTTCCCATCGCTGGAGGACCTGCACATCGGCGAGTGCACGCTCGCTGCCAGTATGAGCGTCACGTCGGACACCATGCCTCGCCTCAAACACCTCCGCTTCACCGACGTCAGCGTGAGGACGGATGACACCAAAGCCGCCGTCACCGTGCTTGTCGATGACCTCAGGACTCTCCGCATGTCATGCCGTTGGCACAGCAAGATTGAATCGCCATCGGAGCCGTTGTTATACTTGTGTCACTCGGGCGTCATAGCCGTGTTCACCAAATACTCGTTGTTCCGCTTATGCGCACCAAAAGTGGCGGTGTTCGAGTGGCGATCTTTGCTATCGCCGACGAGGTGCGCATTGAGGCCGTGGGCGCCTCTCGATGTCGCCATCGAGGTTGACGCCGGTGAGGACGCGCGACGCCGACTCCGATTGAAACGGAACCCAAATACGTGACCATACAACAACGTGACAAACTTGTGACCGACATCCTTCAAGGGCTTATGCAGGCTGCTGAGCCACAAGACTTGGAAAGATGTGACGAGGTATGTATATACTCGACTTTAATTTCGCATTGTTATTACACACACAAAAAAATCTCAAGTAGATAGGTCGTAAATTTGTTTGACTTTCATGGATATATCTACATATACAAATTCTCAGCCTTGTTTTGAAAGTCATTGATGGTCCAAGTTTAAATTGTTTTGCTAAATGTTAGTAAACGGGTGGAGCATCTATGAGCCAAGCTAGTCTTTATCTTATATACAATTAGTAATTATTAGAGACCCCAGAGAAGGCTCCTAGCTAATGTTCATCAAAACTTGCCAAGAAAAAAAAGGATCAATTCAAAAAATCCTTATAATAATAAAAAACATTTAATTCTAAATTTGGCACATCCTATTAATATCATAATCCATAATAGCCATGGGCTCTATTGCGTTTTTTATTTGTACAATAATATGACATGCGGGCCGACAGGTCAAGCCAGCCCATATGTAGAAGACCGATAGAACACCTCTCGGCTATGGTGGCAGGCAGCGGTACCTGTCGGTTTCTGGAAGGCCGACGGTGACGTCATCCCTAAAGCAAGTACTCTGTGCAATCCATGGTCACGGACACGATTCCACACAGGACCTATGCCGCATGTCGAAGGTATTGCGCAACTATCTTTGTTTGAAGGTCACAATTACGAATGTTGAAGTTGTTGAGAAGGGCACTAGCACCTATGCCTCGCACTATACAATCGTTATACTTATATAAAAAACTGTTGTCAAGCAACAATGCTTCATACAAGCACAAAATTAATATTCTCGCACTCAGAGTCAAATACCACCACGTGGGCAAGGAGTTGTTGTTCGAGGCGGACACCGACGCTGGTCCCTCATTTGCCGCGCCGCTATGGTCGAGCAAAGCAGTGCTGCTGCTCTGCACGCCGTGAGGCCGCTGCGCTTCCACGGCGCGCCGCTGCCGCCGGGCGCTTCGGGGACACGGTGGTGCGTGAGGACTTCCCGCCGCCGCCACCGTGTTCCCGTCCATCGAGGACTGCACATCGGCGTGTGCATGCTTTCGCCGATAAGAGCGTCACGTCGGACACCATGCCTCGCCTCAAACACCTCCGCTTCACCGGCGTCGGCGTGAGGAGGACGGATGACACCAAAGCCGCCGTCACCGTGCTCGCCGATGACCTCGGGACTCTCCGCATGTCATGCCGTTGGTGCAAGCAAGACCGAATCGCCATCGAGCGGTTGTTGTTCGTGTGTGTCACTCGGCGTCTGGCCGTGTTCACAAAATACTCGTTGTTTCGCTTACGCGCACCAAAGCTGGCGGTGTTCGAGTGGCGATGCTGCTATGCTGACGAGGTGCGCATTGAGGCCGTGGGCCGCCTCTCCGATGTCGCCATCAAGGTTGACGCCGGTAGGACGCGCACGCCAACTCCGATTGGCACGGAACCCAAGTACGTGACAATAAAACAATGTGACAAACTTGTGACTGACATCCTTCAAGGGCTTATGCCTGGCTTGCAGCCGCGCACTTGGAAAGATGTGACGAGGTATGTATATACTCGACTTTAATTTTAGACTGTTATTACACACACAAAAAAATCTCAAGTAGATATGTCGTAAATTTGTTTGACTTTCATGGATATATCTACACATACAAATTCTCAGCCTTGTTTTGAAAGTCATTGATGGTCAAGTTTAAATTGTTTTGTTAAATGTTAGTAAATGGGTCGAGCATCTCTGAGCCAAGCTAGTCTTTATCTTATATACTATTAGTAATTATTAGAGACCCTAGAGAAGACTACTAGCTAATGTTCATGGAAACTTGCCAAGCAAAAAAAGGATCAATTCTAAAAATCATTATAATAATATAAAACATTTAATTTTAAATTTGGCATATCCTATTAATATCATAGTCTATAATAGCCATGGGCTCTATTGTGTTTTTCATTTGTACAATAATGTGACATGAGGGCCGACAGGTCAAGCCGGCCCATATATAGAAGACCGATAGGACACCTCTCGGCTGTGGTGGCAGGCAGCGGTACATGTCGGCTTCTAGCAGGCCGACAGGTGACGTCATCCCTAAAGCAAGTACTCTGTGCAATCCATGGTCACGGACTTGATTCAACCGCAGGACCTATGCTGCATGTCGAAGGTATTGCGCACCTATGTTGTTTGAAGGTCACGATTCTAAATGTTGAAGCCATTGAGAAGGGCACTAGCACCTATGCCTGCACTATACAATCAGTTATACTTATATATATAAAAAATCTCTGTCAAGCAACAATGCTTCATACTAGCACAAAATTAATATTCTGCACTCAGAGTCAAATACCCCCACGTTGGCAAGGAGTTCTTACTTGAGGCGGACACCGGTGCCTGGTCCCTCCAGTTGCCGCCCACTACGGTTGAGAGCGAAGTGGTGCCGCTGCACGGTATGCCGTGAGGCGCCGCGCATCCATCCGGCGCCGCCGCCGTGTGCCCTTCGGGGACACGGTGGTGCGCGAGACTTCCGTTCGCCGCCACCGTGTTCCCATCGCTGGAGGACCCGCACATCGGGCGAGTGCAGTGCGCTTCATTGCCAAGATGAGCGTCACGTCGGACACCATGCCTCGCCTCAAACACCTCCGCTTCACCGACGTCAGCGTGAGGACGGATGACACCAAAGCCGCCGTCACCGTGCTTGTCGATGACCTCAGGACTCTCCGCATGTCATGCCGTTGGCACAGCAAGATTGAATCGCCATCGGAGCCGTTGTTATACTTGTGTCACTCGGGCGTCATAGCCGTGTTCACCAAATACTCGTTGTTCCGCTTATGCGCACCCAAGCTGGCGGTGTTCGAGTGGCGATGCTGCTATGCTGACGAGGTGCGCATTGAGGCCGTGGGCCGCCTCTCCGATGTCGCCATCGAGGTTGACGCCGGTAGGACGCGCACGCCGACTCCGATTGAAACGGAACCCAAGTACGTGACCATACAACAACGTGACAAACTTGTGACCGACATCCTTCAAGGGCTTATGCCTGGGCTGCAGCCGCGCACTTGGAAAGATGTGACGAGGTATGTATATACTCGACTTTAATTTCAGACTGTTATTACACACACAAAAAAAATCTCAAGTAGATAGGTCGTAAATTTGTTTGACTTTCATGGATATATCTACATATACAAATTCTCAGCCTTGTTTTGAAAGTCATTGATGGTCCAAGTTTAAATTGTTTTGCTAAATGTTAGTAAACGGGTGGAGCATCTATGAGCCAAGCTAGTCTTTATCTTATATACAATTAGTAATTATTAGAGACCGCAGAGAAGACTCCTAGCTAATGTTCATAAAAACTTGCAAGAAAAAAAAGGATCAATTCTAAAAATCCTTATAATAATAAAAAACATTTAAAGCTAAATTTGGCATATGCTATTAATATCATAGTCTATAATAGCCATGGGCTCTATTGCGTTTTTTATTTGTACAATAATCTGACATGAGGGCCGACAGGTCAAGCCGGCCCATAGAAGACCGATAGGACACCTCTCGGCTGTGGTGGCAGGCAGCGGTACCTGTCGCCTTGTAGCAGGCCGACAGGTGACGTCATCCCTAAAGCAAGTACTCTGCAATCCATGGTCACGGACATGATTCAACAACAGGACCTATGCTGCATGTCGAAGGTATTGCGCAACTGCGCTGTTTGAAGGTCACGATTCTGAATGTTGAAGCTATTGAGAAGGGCACTAGCACCTATGCCTGCACTATACAATCAGTTATACTTATATAAAAAAATCTCTGTCAAGCAACAATGCTTCATATTAGCACAAAATTAATATTCTGCACTCAGAGTCAAATACCCCCACGTGGGCAAGGAGTTCTTACCTGAGGCGGACGCCGGCGCATGGTCCCTCTAGCTGCCGCCCGCTACGGTCGAGCAGCAGGTGCTGCCGTTCTGGTACGCTGTGAGGCCGGCGCACATCCACGGCGCCGCCGTCAGCGCCCTTCGGGGACACGGTGGTGCGCGAGGACTTCCCGCTCGCCGCCACCGTGTTTCCGTCGCTAGAGGACCTGCACATCGGCGAGTGCATGCTCACTGCCAGTATGAGCGTCACGTCGGACACCATGCCTTGCCTCAAACACCTCCGCTTCACCGACGTCAGCGTGAGGACGGATGACACCAAAGCCGCCGTCATCGTGCTCGCCGATGACCTCAGGACTCTCCGCATGTCATGCCATTAGTACAGCAAGACTGAATCGCCATCGGAGCCGCTGTTGTTCTTGTGTCACTTGGGTGTCACAGCCGTGTTCACCAAATACTCGTTCCGCTTACGCGCACCCAAGCTGCCGGTGTTCGAGTGGCGATGCTGCTATGCTGACGAGGTGCGCATTGAGGCCGTGGGCCGCCTCTCCGATGTCACCATCGACGTTGACACCGGTAGTACGCGCACGCCGACTCCGATTGGCACAGAACCCAAGTACGTGACAATACAACAACGTGACAAACTTGTGACCGACATCCTTCAAGGGCTTATGACTGGGCTGCAGCCGCGCACTTGGAGAGATGTGACGAGGTATGTATATACTCGACTTTAATTTCAGATTGTTATTACACACACAAAAAAAATTTCAAGTAGATAGGCCGTAAATTTGTTTGACTTTCGTGGATATATCTACATATACAAATTCTCAGCCTTGTTTTGAAAGTCATTGATGGTCCAAGTTTAAATTGTTCTGCTAAATGTTAGTAAACGGGTCGAGCATCTATGAGCCAAGCTAGTCTTTATCTTATATACTGTTAGTAATTATTAGAGACCCCAGAGAAGACTCCTAGCTAATGTTCATGCAAACTTGCCAAGAAAAAAAAGGATCAATTCTAAAAATCCTTATAATAATAAAAAACATTTAATTTTAAATTTGGCACATCCTATTAATATCATAGTCTATAATAGCCATGGGCTCTATTGCGTTTTTTATTTGTACAATAATCTGACATGAGGGCCGACAGGTCAAGCCGGCCCATAGAAGACCGATAGGATACCTCTCGGCTGTGGTGGCAGGTACCTGTCCAACAGGTGACGTCATCCCTAAAGCAAGTGCTCTGTGCTATCCATGGTCACGGACATGATGGACCTATGCTTCATGTCGAAGGTATTGCGCAACTATGCTGTTTGAAGGTCATGATTCTGAATGTTGAAGCAATTGAGAAGGGCACTAGCACCTATGTCTGCACTATACAATCAGTTATACTTATATGAAAAAAATCTCTGTTAAGCAACAATGCTTCATACAAGCACAAAATTAATATTCTGCACTCAGAGTCAAATACCCCCACGTGGGCTAGGAGTTCTTACCTGAGGCGGACGCCGGCGCCTGGTCCCTCCAGCTGCCGCCCGCTACGGTAGAGCAGCAGGTGCTGCCGTTCTGGTACGCCATGAGGCCGCCGCGCATCCACGGCGCCACCGTCAGCGCCCTTCGGGGACACGGTGGTGCGCGAGGAATTCCCACTCGCCGCCACCATGTTCCCATCGCTAGAGGACCTGCACATCGGCGAGTGCATGCTCACAGCCAGTATGAGCGTCACGTCGGACACCATGCCTCGCCTCAAACACCTCCGCTTCACCGACGTCAGCGTGAGGACGGATGACACCAAAGCCGCCGTCATCGTGCTCTCCGATGACCTCAGGACTCTCCGCATGTCATGCCGTTAGTACAGCAAGACTGAATCGCCATCGGAGCCGCTGTTGTTCTTGTGTCACTTGGGTGTCACCGCCGTGTTCACCAAATACTCGTTGTTCCGCTTACGCGCACCCAAGCTGCCGGTGTTCGAGTGGCGATGCTGCTATGCTGACGAGTTGCGCATTGAGGCCGTGGGCCGCCTCTCCGATTTCGCCATCGAGGTTGACGCCGGTAGGACGCGCACGCCGACTCCGATTGGCATGGAACCCAAGTACGTGACAATACAACAATGTGACAAACTTTTGACCGACATCCTTCAAGGGCTTATGCCTGGGCTGCAGCCGTGCACTTGGAAAGATGTGACGAGGTATGTATATACTCGACTTTAATTTCAGACTGTTATTACACAAAAAAAAATCTCAAGTAGATAGGTCGTAAATTTGTTTGACTTCCATGGATATATCTACATATACAAATTCTCAGCCTTGTTTTGAAAGTCATTGATGGTCCAAGTTTAAATTGTTTTGCTAAATGTTAGTAAACAGGTCAAGCATCTATGAGCCAAGCTAGTCTTTATCTTATATACTGTTAGTAATTATTAGAGGCCCCAGAGAAGACTCCTAGCTAATGTTCATGAAAACTTGCCAAGAAAAAAAAGGATCAATTCTAAAAATCCTTATAATAATAAAAAACATTTAATTTTAAATTTGGCACATCCTATTAATATCATAGTCTATAATAGCCATGGGCTCTATTGCGTTTTTTATTTGTACAATAATCTGACATGAGGGCCGACAGGTCAAGCCGGCCCATAGAAGACCGATAGGACACCTCTCGGCTGTGGTGGCAGGTACCAGTCCGACAGGTGACGTCATCCCTAAAGCAAGTACTCTGTGCAATCCATGGTCACGGAATGATTCAACAGCAGGACCTATGCTGCATGTCGAAGGTATTGCGCAACGATGCTGTTTGAAGGTCACGATTCTAATTGTTGAAGCTATTGAGAAGGGCACTAGCACCTATGCCTGCACTATACAATCGGTTAGACTTATATAAAAAAAATCTCTGTCAAGCAACAATGCTTCATGAAAGCACAAAATTAATATTCTGCACTCAGAGTCAAATACCCCCATGTGGACAAGGAGTTCTTACCTGAGGCGGACGCCGGTGCCTGGTCCCTCCAGCTGCCGCCCGCTACGGTCGAGCAGCAGGTGCTGCCGTTTTGGTACGCCGTGAGGCCGCCGCGCATCCACGGCGCCGCCGTCAGCGCCCTTCGGGGACACGGTGGTGCGCGAGGACTTCCTGCTCGCCGCCATCGTGTTCCCGTCGCTGGAGGACCTGCACATCGGCGAGTGCACGCTCGATGCCAGTATGAGCGTCACGTCGGACACCATGCCTCGCCTCAAACACCTCCGCTTCACTGACCTCAGCGTGAGGACGGATGACACCAAAGCCGCCGTCACCGTGCTCGCCGATGACCTCAGGACTCTCCGCAAGTCATGCCGTTGGTACAGCCAGACTGAATCGCCATCGGAGCCGCTGTTGTTCTTGTGTCACTCGGGCGTCACAGCCGTGTTCACCAAATACTCGTTGTTCCGCTTACGCGCACCCAAGCTAGCGGTGTTCGAGTGGCGATGCTGCTATGCTGACGAGGTGCGCATTGAGGCCGTGGGCCGCCTCTCCGATGTCGCCATCGAGGTTGACGCCCGTAGGACGCGCACGCCGACTCCGATTGGCATGGAACCCAAGTTCGTGACAATACAACAACGTGACAAACTTGTGACCGACATCCTTCAAGGGCTTATGACTGGGCTGCAGCCACGCACTTGGAAAGATGTGACGAGGTATGTATATACTCGACTTCAATTTCAGACTGTTATTACACACACACACAAAAATCTCAAGTAGATAGGTCATAAATTTGTTTGACTTTCATCGATATATCTACATATACAAATTCTCAGCCTTGTTTTGAAAGTCATTGATGGTCCAAGTTTAAATTGTTTTGCTAAATGTTAGTAAACGGGTCGAGCATCTCTGAGCCAAGCTAGTCTTTATCTTATATACTATTAGTACTTATTAGGGGCCCCAGAGAAGACTCCTAGCTAATGTTCATGAAAACTTGCCAGGAAAAAAAGGATCAATTCTAAAAATCCTTACAATAATAAAAAACATTTAATTTTAAATTTGTCACATCCTATTAATATCATAGTCTATAATAGCCATGGGCTCTATTGCGTTTTTTATTTGTACAATAATCTGACATGAGGGCCGACAGGTCAAGCCGGCCCATAGAAGACCGTTAGGACACCTCTCGGCTGAGGTGGCAGGCAGCGGCACCTGTCGGCTTCTGGCAGTCCGACAGGTGACGTCATCCCTAAAGCAAGTACTCTGTGCAATCCATGGTCACGGACATGATTCAACAGCAGGACCTATGCTGCATGTCGAAGGTATTGCGCAACTATGCTGTTTGAAGGTCACGATTCTGAATGTGGAAGCTATTGAGAAGGGCACTAGCACCTATGCCTGCACTATACAATCAGTTATACTTATATAAAAAAAATCTCTGTCAAGCAACAATGCTTCATACAAGCACAAAATTAATATTCTGCACTCAGAGTCAAATACCCCCACGTGGGCAAGGAGTTCTTACCTGAGGCGGACGCCGGTGCCTGGTCCCTCCAGCTGCCGCCCGCTACGGTCGAGCAGCAGGTGCTGCCGTTCTGGTACGCCGTGAGGCCGCCGCGCATCCACGGCGCCGCCGTCAGCGCCCTTCGGGGACACGGTGGTGCGCGAGGACTTCCCGCTCGCCGCCACCGTGTTCCCGTCGCTGGAGGACCTGCACATCGGCGAGTGCACGCTCGCTGCCAGTATGAGCGTCACGTCGGACACCATGCCTCGCCTCAAACACCTCCGCTTCACCGACGTCAGCGTGAGGACGGATGACACCAAAGCCGCCGTCACCGTGCTCGCCGATGACCTCAGGACTCTCCGCATGTCATGCCGTTGGTACAGCAAGACTGAATCGCCATCGGAGCCGCTGTTGTTCTTGTGTCACTCGGGCGTCACAGCCGTGTTCACCAAATACTCGTTGTTCCGCTTACGCGCACCCAAGCTGGCGGTGTTCGAGTGGCGATGCTGCTATGCTGACGAGGTGCGCATTGAGGCCGTGGGCCGCCTCTCCGATGTCGCCATCGAGGTTGACGCCCGTAGGACGCGCACGCCGACTCCGATTGGCACGGAACCCAAGTTCGTGACAATACAACAACGTGACAAACTTGTGACCGACATCCTTCAAGGGCTTATGCCTGGGCTGCAGCCACACACTTGGAAAGATGTGACGAGGTATGTATATACTCGACTTCAATTTCAGACTGTTATTACACACACAAAAAAAATCTCAAGTAGATAGGTCATAAATTTGTTTGACTTTCATCGATATATCTACATATACAAATTCTCAGCCTTGTTTTGAAAGTCATTGATGGTCCAAGTTTAAATTGTTTTGCTAAATGTTAGTAAACGGGTCGAGCATCTCTGAGCCAAGCTAGTCTTTATCTTATATACTATTAGTAATTATTAGAGGCCCCAGAGAAGACTCCTAGCTAATGTTCATGAAAACTTGCCATGAAAAAAAAGGATCAATTCTAAAAATCCTTATAATAATAAAAAACATTTAATTTTAAATTTGGCACATCCTATTAATATCATAGTCTATAATAGCACTGGGCTCTATTGCGTTTTTTATTTGTACAATAATCTGACATGAGGGCCGACAGGTCAAGCTGGCCCATAGAAGACCGATAGGACACCTCACGGCTGAGGTGGCAGGCAGCGGTACCTGTCGGCTTCTGGCAGTCCGACAGGTGACGTCATCCCTAAAGCAAGTACTCTGTGCAATCCATGGTCACCGACATGATGGACCTTTGCTGCATGTCGAAGGTATTGCGCAGCTATGTGTTTGAAGGTCACGATTCTGAATGTTGAAGCTACTGAGAAGGGCACTAGCACCTATGCCTGCACTATACAATCACTTATGCTTATATAAAAAAAATCTCTGTCAAGCAACAATGCTTCATACAAGCACAAAATTAATATTCTACACTCAGAGTCAAATACCCCCACGTGGGCAAGGAGTTCTTACCTGAGGCGGACGCCGGCGCCTGGTCCCTCTAGCTACCGCCCGCTACGGTCGAGCACCAGTGCTGCTGCCCGTGCTGTACGCCGTAAGCCCGCCAGCGCATCCACAGCGCGCCGCCGTCGGTGTTTCGGGGACACGGTGGTGCGCGAGAGACTTCCGCCGCCGCCACCGTGTTCCCGCTCATTGGAGGACCAGCACATCGGCGAGTGCACGCCGCCGCCGAGATGAGCGCCACGCCGGACACCATGCCTCGCGTCAAACACCTCCGCTTCACCGCGTCGGCGTGAGGAAGGATGACACCAAATCCGCCGTGACCGTGCTCGCCGATGACCTCAGGACTCTCCGCATGTCATGTCGTTGGTACAGCAAGACTGAATCGCCATCGGAGCCGCTGTTGTTCTTATGTCACTCGGGCATCACAGCCGTGTTCACCAAATACTCGTTGTTCCGCTTACGCGCACCCAAGCTGGCGGTGTTCGAGTGGCGATGCTGCTATGCTGACGAGGTGCGCATTGAGGCCGTGGGTCGCCTCTCCGATGTCGCCATCGAGGTTGACGCCGGTAGGACGCGCACGCCGACTCCAATTGGCCCGGAACCCAAGTACGTGACAATACAACAACGTGACAAACTTGTGACCGACATCCTTCAAGGGCTTATGCCTGGGCTGCAGCCACGCACTTGGAAAGGTGTGACGAGGTATGTATATACTCGACTTTAATTTCAGACCGTTATTACACACACAAAAAAAATCTCAAGTAGATAGGTCGTAAATTTGTTTGACTTTCATCGATATATCTACATATACAAATTCTCAGCCTTGTTTTGAAAGTCATTGATGCTCCAAGTTTAAATTGTTTTGCTAAATGTTAGTAAACGGGTCGAGCATCTATGAGCCAAGCTAGTCTTTATCTTATATACTATTAGTAATTATTAGAGGCCCCAGAGAAGACTCCTAGCTAATGTTCACGAAAACTTGCCAAGAAAAAAAAAAGGATCAATTCTAAAAATCCTTATAATAATAAAAAACATTTAATTTTAAATTTGGCACATCCTATTAATATCATAGTCTATAATAGCCATGGGCTCTATTGCGTTTTTTATTTGTACAAGAATCTGAGATGAGGGCCGACAGGTCAAGCCGGCCCATAGAAGACCGATAGGACACCTCTCGGCTGAGGTGGCAGGCAGCGGTACCTGTCGGCTTGTGGCAGGCCGACAGGTGACGTCATCCCTAAAGCAAGTACTCTGTGCAATCCATGGTCACGGACATGATGGACCTATGCTGCATGTCGAAGGTGTTGCGCAACTATGCTGTTTGAAGGTCATGATTCTGAATGTTGAAGCTACTGAGAAGGGCACTAGCACCTATGCCTGCACTATACAATCAGTTATACTTATATAAAAAAAATCTCTGTCAAGCAACAATGCTTCATACAAGCACAAAATTAATATTCTTTTCAGAGTCAAATACCCCCGTGGGCAAGGAGTTCTTACATGAGGCGGACGCTTGGCACTGGTCCCTCCATTTGCCGCCCGCTTCTACGGTCGAGCGGTGCTGTGTTGTTCGGTACGCCGTGAGGCCACCGCGCATCCACAGCGCCGCGCCGTCGGCGCCCGCCGGGGACACGGTGGTGCGCGAGACTTCGCCGCCGCCACCATGTTCCCGTCATTGGAGGACCTGCACATCGGCGAGTGCACGCTTCATTTGCCAGATGAGCGCCACGTCGAACACCATGCCTCGCCTCAAACACCTCCGCTTCACAGCGTCAACGTGAGGACGGATGACACCAAAGCCGCCGTCACCGTGTTCGCCGATGACCTCAGGACTCTCCGCATGTCATGCCGTTGGTACAGCAAGACTGAATCGCCATCGGAGCCGCTATTGTTCTTGTGTCACCCAGGCATCACAGCCGTGTTCTCCAAATACTCGTTGTTCCGTTTATGCACACCCAAGCTGGCGGTGTTCGAGTGGCGATGCTGCAATGCTGACGAGGTGCACGTTGAGGCTGTGGGCCGCCTCTCCGATGTCGCCATCGAGGTTGACGCCGGTAGGAAGCGCACGCCGACTCCGATTGGCACGGAACACAAGTACGTGACAATACAACAACGTGACAAACTTGTGACCGACATCCTTCAAGGGCTTATGCCTGGGCTGCAGCCACGCACTTGGAAAGATGTGACGAGGTATGTATATACTCGACTTTAATTTCAGACTGTTATTACACACACACACAAAAATCTCAAGTAGATTGGCCGTAAATTTGTTTGACTTTCATCGATATATCTACATATACAAATTCTCAGCCTTGTTTTGAAAGTCATTGATGGTCCAAGTTTAAATTGTTTTGGTAAATGTTAGTAAACGGGTCGAGCATCTATGAGCCAAGCTAGTCTTTATCTTATATACTATTAGTAATTATTAGAGGCCCCAGAGAAGACTCCTAGCTAATGTTCATGAAAACTTGCCAAGAAAAAAAAGGATCAATTCTAAAAATCCTTATAGTAATAAAAAACATTTAATTTTAAATTTGGCACATCCTATTAATATCATAGTCTATAATAGCCATGGGCTCTATTGCGTTTTTTATTTGTACAAGAATCTGACATGAGGGCCGACAGGTCAAGCCGGCCCATAGAAGACCGATAGGACACCTCTCGGCTGAGGTGGCAGGCAGCGGTACCTGTCGGCTTCTGGCAGGCCGACAAGTGAGGTCATCCCTAAAGCAAGTACTCTGTGCAATCCATGGTCACGGACATGATGGACCTATGCTGCATGTCGAAGGTATTGCGCAACTATGCTGTTTGAAGGTCACGATTCTGAATGTTGAAGCTACTGAGAAGGGCACTAGCACCTATGCCTGCATTATACAATCACTTATACTTATATAAAAAAATCTCTGTCAAGCAACAATGCTTCATACAAGCAGAAAATTAATATTCTGCACTCAGAGTCAAATACCCCCACGTGGGCAAGGAGTTTTTACCTAAGGCGGACGGCGGCGCTTAGTCCCCTCCATTTGCCGCCGCTTCACGGTCGAAAGCAGCTGCTGTGCTGCTGCTCGGTACGCCGTGAGGCCGACAAGCGCATCCACGGCGCCGCCGTCGGCGCCCTTCGGGGACACGGTGGTGCGCGCGAGACTTCCGCTTCGCCACCACCGTGTTCCCGTCATTGAGGACCTACACATTGGCGAGTGCACGTCATTTTGCCCGAGATGAGCGCCACGTCAAACACCATGCCTCGCCTCAAACACCTCCGCTTCACCACGTCACCGTGAGGACGGATGACACCAAAGCCGCCGTCACCGTGTTTCGCCGATGACCTCGGGACTCTCCGCATGTCATGCCGTTGGTACAAGCAAGACCGAAGTCGCCATCAGAGCCCATTGTTGTTCTTGTGTCACTTTCGGGCGCCACAGCCGTGTTCACCAAATACTCGTTTTTCGCTTTACGCGCACTCCAAGCCGGGCGGTGTTCGAGTGGCGCGGCTTTGCTATCTTGATGAGGTGCGCATTGAGGCCGTGGGCCGCCTCTCCGAGGTCACCATCGAGGTTGACGCCGGTAGGACGCACACGCCGACTCCGATTGGCACGGAGCCCAAGTACGTGACAATACAACAACGTGACAAACTTGTGACCGACATCCTTCAAGGGCTTATGCCTGGGCTGCATCCACGCACTTGGAAAGATGTGACGAGGTATGTATATACTCACTTTAATTTCAGACTGTTATTACACACACAAAAAAAACCCAAGTAGATAGGTCGTAAATTTGTTTGACTTTCATCGATATATCTACATATACAAATTCTCAGCCTTGTTTTGAAAGTCATTGATGGTCCAAGTTTAAATTGTTTTGCTAAATGTTAGTAAACGGGTCGAGCAACTATGAGCCAAGCTAGTCTTTATCTTATATACTATTAGTAATTATTAGAGGCCCCAGAGAAGACTCCTAGCTAATGTTCATGAAAACTTGCCCAGAAAAAAAGGATCAATTCTAAAAATCCTTATAATAATAAAAAACATTTAATTTTAAATTTGGCACATCCTATTAATATCATAGTCTATAATAGCCATGGGCTCTATTGCGTTTTTTATTTGTACAATAATCTGACATGAGGGCCGACAGGTCAAGCCGGCCCATAGAAGACCGATAGGACACCTCTCGGCTGAGGTGGCAGGCAGCGATACCTGTCGGCTTCTGGCAGGCCGACAGGTGACGTCATCCGTAAAGCAAGCACTCTGTGCAATCCATGTTCACGGACATGATGGACCTATGCTGCATGTCGAAGGTATTGCGCAACTATTCTGTTTGAAGGTCACGATTCTGAATGTTGAAGCTACTGAGAAGGGCACTAGCACCTATGCCTGCACTATACAATCAGTTATACTTATATAAAAAAATCTCTGTCAAGCAACAATGCTTCATAGAAGCACAAAATTAATATTCTGCACTCAGAGTCAAATACCCCCACGTGGGCAAGGAGTTCTTACCTGAGGCGGACGCTGGCGCCTACTCCCTCCAGCTGCCGCCCGCTACGGTCGAGCAGCAGGTGCTGCGTTCTGGTACGCCGTGAGGCCTCCGCGCATCCACCGCGCCGCCGTCAGCGCCCTTCGGGCACACGGTGGTGCTCGAGGACTTCCCACTCGCCGCCACCGTGTTCCTGTCGCTGGAGGACCTGCACATCGGCGAGTGCACGCTCACTGCCAGTATGAGCGTCACGTCAGACACCATGCCTCGCCTCAAACACCTCCGCTTCACCGACGTCACCGTGAGGACGGATGACACCAAAGCCGCCGTCACCGTGCTCGCCAATGACCACAGGACTCTCCGCATGTCATGCCGTTGGTACAGCAAGATTAAATCACCATTGGAGCCGCTGTTGTTCTTGTGTCACTCGGGCATCACAGCCGTGTTCACCAAATACTCGTTGTTCCGCTTACGCGCACCCAAGCTGGCGGTGTTCGAGTGGCGATGCTGCTATGCTGACGAGGTGCGCATTGAGGCCGTGGGCCGCCTCTCCGAGGTCGCCATCGAGGTTGACGGCGGTAGGACGCGCACGCCGACTCCGATTGGCACGGAGCCCAAGTACGTGACAATACAACAACGTGACAAACTTGTGACCGACTTCCTTCAAGGGCTTATGCCTGGGCTGCATCCACGCACTTGGAAAGATGTGACGAGGTATGTATATACTCACTTTAATTTCAGACTGTTATTACACACACAAAAAAAATCTCAAGTAGATAGGTCGTAAATTTGTTTGACTTTCATCGATATATCTACATATACAAATTCTCAGCCTTGTTTTGAAAGTCATTGATGGTCCAAGTTTAAATTGTTTTGCTAAATGTTAGTAAACGGGTCGAGCAATTATGAGCCAAGCTAGTCTTTATCTTATATACTATTAGTAATTATTACAGGCCCCAGAGAAGACTCCTAGCTAATGTTCATGAAAACTTGCCAAGAAAAAAAAGATCAATTCCAAAAATCCTTATAATAATAAAAAACATTTAATTTTAAATTTGGCACATCCTATTAATATCATAGTCTATAATAGCCATGGGCACTATTGCGTTTTTTATTTGTACAATAATCTGACATGAGGGCCGACAGGTCAAGCCGTCCCATAGAAGACCGATAGGACACCTCTCGGCTGAGGTGGCTGGCAGCGGTACCTGCCGGCTTCTGGCAGGCCGACAGGTGACGTCATCCGTAAAGCAAGTACTCTGTGCCATCCATGGTCACGGACATGATGGACCTATGCTGCATGTCGAAGGTATTGCGCAACTATGCTGTTTGAAGGTCACGATTCTAAGTGTTGAAGCTACTGAGAAGGGCACTAGCACCTATGCCTGCACTATACAATCACTTATACTTATATAAAAAAATCTCTGTCGAGCAACAATGCTTCATACAAGCACAAAATTAATATTCCGAACTCAGAGTCAAATACCCCCACGTGGGCAAGGAGTTCTTACCTGACGCGGACGCCGGCGCCTAGTCACTCCAGCTGCCGCCCACTATGGTCGAGCAGCAGGTGCTGCGTTCTGGTATGCCGTGAGGCCTCCGCGCATCCACCGCGCCGCCGTCAGCGCCCTTCGGAGACACGGTTGTGCGCGAGGACTTCCCGCTCGCCGCCACCGTGTTCCCGTCGCTGGAGGACCTACACATTGGTGAGTGCACGCTCACTGCCAGTATGAGCGTCACGTCAGACACCATGCCTCGCCTCAAACACCTCCGCTTCACCGACGTCACCGTGAGGACGGATGACACCAAATCCGCCGTCACCGTGCTCGCCGATGACCTCAGGACTCTCCGCATGTCATGCCGTTGGTACAGCAAGACTGAATCGCCATCGGAGCCGCTGTTGTTCTTTTGTCACTCGGGCGTCACAGCCGTGTTCACCAAATACTCGTTGTTCCGCTTACGCGCACCCAAGCTGGCGGTGTTCGAGTGGCGATGCTGCTATGCTGACGAGGTGCGCATTGAGGCCGTGGGTCGCCTCTCCGATGTCGCCATCGAGGTTGACGCCGGTAGGACGCGCACGCCGACTCCAATTGGCCCGGAACCCAAGTACGTGACAATACAACAACGTGACAAACTTGTGACCGACATCCTTCAAGGGCTTATGCCTGGGCTGCAGCCACGCACTTGGAAAGGTGTGACGAGGTATGTATATACTCGACTTTAATTTCAGACTGTTATTACACACACAAAAAAATCTCAAGTAGATAGGTCGTAAATTTGTTTGACTTTCATGGATATATCTACATATACAAATTCTCTGCCTTGTTTTGAAAGTCATTGATGGTCCAAGTTTAAATTGTTTTGCTAAATGTTAGTAAACGGGTCGAGCATCTATGAGCCAAGCTAGTCTTTATCTTATATACTATTAGTAATTATTAGAGACCCCAGAGAAGACTCCTAGCTAATGTTCATGAAAACTTGCCAAGAAAAAAAAGGATGAATTCTAAAAATCCTTATAATAATAAAAAACATTTAATTTTAAATTTGGCACATCCTATTAATATCATAGTCTATAATAGCCATGGGCTCTATTGCGTTTTTTATTTGTAAAATAATATGACACGAGGCTCGACAGGTCAAGCCGGCCCATAGAAGACCGATAGGACACCTCTCGGCTGAGGTGGCGGGCAGCGGTACCTCTCGGCTTCTGGCAGGCCGACAGGTGACGTCATCCCTAAAGCAAGTACTCTGTGCAATCCATGTTCACGGACATGATGGACCTATGCTGCATGTCGAAGGTATTGCGCAACTATGCTGTTTGAAGGTCATGATTCGGAATGTTCAAGCTATTGAGAAGGGCACTAGCACCTATGCCTGCACTATACAATCAGTTATACTTATATAAAAAAAATCTCAGTCAAGCAACAATGCTTCATACAAGCACAAAATTAATATTCTGCACTCAGAGTCAAATACCCCCACGTGGGCAAGGAGTTCTTTCCTGACGCGGATGCCGGCGCCTGGTCCCTCCAGCTGCTGCCCGCTACGGTCGAGCTGCAGGTGCTGCCGTTCTGGTATGACGTGAGGCCGCCGCGCAGCCACGGCGCCGGCGTCAACGCCATTCGGGGACACGGTGGTGCGCGATGACTTCCCGCTCGCCGCCACCGTGTTCCCATCGCTGGAGGACCTGCACATCGGCGAGTGCACGATCGCTGCCAGTATGAGCGTCACATCGGACACCATGCCTCGCCTCTAACACCTCCGCTTCGCCGACGTCCGCGTGAGGACGGATGACACCAAAGCCGCCATCACCGTGCTCGCCGATGACCTGAGGACTCTCTGCATGTCATGCCGTTGGTACAGCAAGACTGAATCGCCATCGGAGCCGTTGTTGTTCTTGTGTCACTCGGGCGTCACAGCCGTGTAAACCAAATACTCGTTGTTCCGCATATGCGCACCCAAGCTGGCGGTGTTCGAGTGGCGATGCTGCTATGCTGACGAGGTGCGCATTGAGGCCGTGGGTCGCCTCTCCGATGTCGCCATCGAGGTTGACGCCGGTAGGACGCGCACGCCGACTCCAATTGGCCCGGAACCCAAGTACGTGACAATACAACAACATGACAAACCTTTGACCGACATCCTTCAAGGGCTTATGCCTGGGCTGCAGCCGCGCACTTGGAAAGACGTAACGAGGTATGTATATACTCGACTTTAATTTCAGACTGTTATTACACACACAAAAAAATCTCTGACACAAGTAGATAGGTCGTAAATTTGTTTGATTCTCATGGATATATCTACATATACAAATTAATATCATAGTCTATAATAGCACTGGGCTCTATTGCGTTTTTTATTTGTACAATAATCTGACATGAGCGCCGACAGGTCAAGCCGGCCTTTAGAAGACCGATAGGACACCTCTCGGCTGTGGTGGCAGGCAGCGGTACTGGTCGGCATCTGGACGGCCGACATGTTACTGGACGTCATCACCCCTAAAGCAAATACTCTGTGCAATCCATGGTCACGGACATGATTCAACCGCAGGACCTATGCTGCATGTCGAAGGTATTGCGTAACTATGCTGTTTGAAGGTCTTGATTCTGAATGTTGAAGCTATTGAGAAGGGCACTAGCACCTATGCCTGCACTATACAATCAGTTATACTTATATAAAAAAAATCTCTGTCAAGCAACAATGCTTCATACAAGCACAAAATTAATATTCTGCACTCAGAGTCAAATACCCCCACGTGGGCAAGGAGTTCTTACCTGACACGGACGCCGACGCCTGGTCCCTCCAGCTGCCGCCCGCTACGGTCAAGCTGCAGGTGCTGCCGTTCTGGTACGACGTGAGGCCGCCGCGCAGCCACGGCGCCGGCGTCAGCTCCATTCGGGGACACGGTGGTGCGCGAGGACTTCCCGCTCGCTGCCACCGTGTTTCCGTCGCTAGAGGACCTGCACATCGGCGATTGCACGCTCGCTGCCAGTATGAGCGTCACGTCGGACACCATGCCTTGCCTCTAACACCTCCGCTTCACCGACGTCCGCGTGAGGACGGATGACACCAAAGCCGCCATCACCGTGCTCGCCGATGACCTGAGGACTCTCTGCATGTCATGCCGTTGGTACAGCAAGACTGAATCGCCATCGGAGCCGTTGTTGTTCTTGTGTCACTCGGGCGTCACAGCCGTGTAAACCAAATACTCGTTGTTCCGCATATGCGCACCCAAGCTGGCGGGTTCGAGTGGCGATGCTGCTATGCTGACGAGGTGCGCATTGAGGCCGTGAGCCGCCTCTCCGATGTCGCCATCGAGGTTGACGCCGGTAGGACGTGCACGCCTTCTCCGATTGGCACGGAACCCAAGTACGTGACAATACAATAACGTGACAAACTTGTGACCGACATCCTTCAAGGGCTTATGCAGGCTGCAGCAGCGCAAGACTTGGAAAGATGTAACCAGGTATCTATATACTCGACTTTAATTTCAGACTGTTATTACACACACAAAAAAATCTCTGACACAAGTAGATAGGTCGTAAATTTGTTTGATTCTCATGGATATATCTACATATACAAATTAATATCATAGTCTATAATAGCACTGGGCTCTATTGCGTTTTTTATTTGTACAATAATCTGACATGAGCGCCGACAGGTCAAGCCGGCCTTTAGAAGACCGATAGGACACCTCTCGGCTGTGGTGGCAGGCAGCGGTACTGGTCGGCATCTGGACGGCCGACATGTTACTGGACGTCATCACCCCTAAAGCAAATACTCTGTGCAATCCATGGTCACGGACATGATTCAACCGCAGGACCTATGCTGCATGTCGAAGGTATTGCGTAACTATGCTGTTTGAAGGTCACGATTCTGAATGTTGAAGCTATTGAGAAGGGCACTAGCACCTATGCGTGCACTATACAATCAGTTATACGTATAAAAAAAATCTTTCTCAAGCAACAATGCTTCATACAAGCACAAAATTAATATTCTGCACTCAGAGTCAAATACCCCCACGTGGGCAAGGAGTTCTTTCCTGACGCGGATGCCGGCGCCTGGTCCCTCCAGCTGCTGCCCGCTACGGTCGAGCTGCAGGTGCTGCCGTTCTGGTATGACGTGAGGCCGCCGCGCAGCCACGGCGCCGGCGTCAACGCCATTCGGGGACACGGTGGTGCGCGATGACTTCCCGCTCGCCGCCACCGTGTTCCCATCGCTGGAGGACCTGCACATCGGCGAGTGCACGATCGCTGCCAGTATGAGCGTCACATCGGACACCATGCCTCGCCTCTAACACCTCCGCTTCGCCGACGTCCGCGTGAGGACGGATGACACCAAAGCCGCCATCACCGTGCTCGCCGATGACCTGAGGACTCTCTGCATGTCATGCCGTTGGTACAGCAAGACTGAATCGCCATCGGAGCCGTTGTTGTTCTTGTGTCACTCGGGCGTCACAGCCGTGTAAACCAAATACTCGTTGTTCCGCATATGCGCACCCAAGCTGGCGGGGTTCGAGTGGCGATGCTGCTATGCTGACGAGGTGCGCATTGAGGCCGTGGGCCGCCTCTCCGAGGTCACCATCGAGGTTGACGGCGGTAGGACGCGCACGCCGACTCCGATTGGCACGGAGCCCAAGTACGTGACAATACAACAACGTGACAAACTTGTGACCGACATCCTTCAAGGCTTATGCCTGGGCTGCATCCACGCACTTGGAAAGATGTGACGAGGTATGTATATACTCACTTTAATTTCAGACTGTTATTACACACACAAAAAAAAATCCCAAGTAGATAGGTCGTAAATTTGTTTGACTTTCATCGATATATCTACATATACAAATTCTCAGCCTTGTTTTGAAAGTCATTGATGGTCCAAGTTTAAATTGTTTTGCTAAATGTTAGTAAACGGGTCGAGCAACTATGAGCCAAGCTAGTCTTTATCTTATATACTATTAGTAATTATTAGAGACCCCAGAGAAGACTCCTAGCTAATGTTTATGAAAACTTGCCAGGAAAAAAAAGATCCATTCTAAAAATCCTTATAATAATGAAAAACATTTAGTTTTAAATTTGGCACATACTATTAATATCATAGTCCATAATAGCCATGGGCTCTATTGCGTTTTTTATTTGTACAATAATCTGACATGAGGGCCGACAGGTCAAGCCGGCCCATAGAAGACCGATAGGACACCTCTCGGCTGAGGTGGCAGGCAGCGGTACCTGTCGGCTTCTGGCAGGCCTACAGGTGACGTCATCCCTAAAGCAAGTACTCTGTGCAATCCATGTTCACGGACATGATGGACCTATGCTGCATGTCGAAGGTATTGCGCAACTATGCTGTTTGAAGGTCACGATTCTGAATGTTGAAGCTACTGAGAAGGGCACTAGCACCTATGCCTGCACTATACAATCACTTATACTTATATAAAAAAATCTCTGTCAAGCAACAATGCTTCATACAAGCACAAAATTAATATTCTGCACTCATAGTCAAATACCCCCACGTGGGCAAGGAGTTCTTACCTGAGGCGGACGCCGGCGCCTAGTCCCTCCAGCTGCCGCCCGCTACGGTCGCAAAGCAGCAGGTGCTGCGTTCTCGTGCGCGCCGTGAGGCCTCGCGCATCCACAGCGCCGCCGCCGTCGGCGCCCGCCGGGGACACGGTGGTGCGCGAGAGACTTCCGCCGCCGCCGCCACCGTGTTCCTCGTCGCTGGAGGACCTGCACATCGGGCGAGTGCACGCCATTGCCCGAGATGAGCGCCACGTCGGACACCATGCATCGCCTCAAACACCTCCGCTTCACCGACGTCAGCGTGAGGATGGATGACACCAAAGCCGCCGTCACCGTGCTCGCCGATGACCTCAGGACTCTCCGCATGTCATGCCGTTGGTATAGCAAGACTGAATCGCCATCGAGCCGCTGTTGTTCTTGTGTCAATCGGGCGTCATGTACCGTGTTCACCAAATACTCGTTGTTACGCTTACGCGCGCCCAAAGTGGCGGTGTTCGAATGGCGATGTTGCTATGCCGACGAGGTGCGCATTGAGGCCGTGGGCCGCCTCTCCGATGTCGCCATCGAGGTTGACGCCTGTAGGACGCGCACGTCGACTCCGATTGGCACGGAACCCAAGTACGTGACAATACAACAACGTGACAAACTTGTGACCGACATCCTTCAAGGGCTTATGCCTGGTCTGCAGCCACGCACTTGGAAAGATGTTACGAGGTATGTATATACTCGACTTTAATTTCAGACTGTTATTACACACACAAAAAAAAAATCTCAAGTAGACAGGTCGTAAATTTGTTTGACTTTCATGGATATATCTACATATACAACTTCCCAGCCATGTTTTGAAAGTCATTGATGGTCCAAGTTTAAATTGTTTTACTAAATATTAGTAAACGGATCGAGCATCTATGAGCCAAGCTTGTATTTATCTTATATACTATTAGTAATTATTAGAGGCCCCAAAGAAGACACCTAGCTAATGTTGATGAAAACTTGCCAAGAAAAAAAAGGATCAATTCTAAAAATCCTTATAATAATAAAAATCATTTAATTTTAAATTTGGCACATCCTATTAATAGCATAGTCTATAATAGCCATGGGCTCTATTGCGTTTTTTATTTGTACTATAAGGGCCGACAGGTCAAGCCGGCCCATAGAAGACCACACCTCTCGGCTGTGGTGGCAGGCAGCGGTACCTGTCGGCTTCTGGTGGCAGGTACCAGTCCGACAGGTGACGTCATCCCTAAAGCAAGTACACTGTGCAATCCATGGTCACGGACATGATTCAACAGCAGGACCTATGCTGCATGTCGAAGGTATTGCGCAACTATGCTGTTTGAAGGTCACGATTCTGAATGTTGAAGCTACTGAGAAGGGCACTAGCACCTATGCCTGCACTATACAATCAGTTATACTTATATAAAAAAAATCTTTCTCAAGCAACAATGCTTCATACAAGCACAAAATTAATATTCTGCACTCAGAGTCAAATACCCCCACGTGGGCATGGAGTTTTTTCCTAAGGCGGACGCCAGCGCCTGGTCCCTCCAGCTGCCGCCCGCTATGGTCGAGCAGCGGGTGCTGCTGCTCGCACGCCGTGAGGCCGACGCGCATCCACGGCGCCGCCGTCAGCGCCCGCCGGGACACGGTGGTGCGCGAGACTTCCCGCCGCCACCACCGTGTTCCCGTCATTGAGGACCTACACACATTGGCGAGTGCACGCCGCTGCCCGATATGAGCGTCACGCCGGACACCATGCTCGCCTCAAACACCTCCGCTTCACCGAGCGTCACCGTGAGGACGGATGACACCAAAGCCGCCCACCACCGTTTCGCCGATGACCTCGTGGACTCTCCGCATGTCATGCCGTTGGTGCAGCAAGACGAATCGCCATCGGAGCCCTTTGTTGTTCTTGTGTCACTCGGCGCCACTGGCCGTGTTCACCAAATACTCGTTGTTCGCTTTACGCGCACCCAAGCTGGCGGTGTTCGAGTGGCGATGCTGCTATCTTGACGAGGTGCGCATTGAGGCCGTGGGCGCGCTTCTCCGAGGTCGCCATCGAGGTTGACGGCGGTAGGGAGATCAGCAGACGCCGACTCCGATTGGCACGGAGCCCAAGTGCGTGACAATACAACAACGTGACAAACTTGTGACCGACATCCTTCAAGGGCTTATGCCTGGGCTGCAGCCACGCACTTGGAAAGATGTTACGAGGTATGTATATACTCGACTTTAATTTCAGATGTTATTACACACACAAAAAAATCTCAAGTAGACAGGTCAGTAAATTTGTTTGACTTTCATGGATAGATCTACATATACAAATTCCCAGCCATGTTTTGAAAGTCATTGATGGTCCAAGTTTAAATTGTTTTACTAAATATTAGTAAACGGGTTGAGCATCTATGAGCCAAGCTAGTCTTTATCTTATATACTATTAGTAATTATTAGAGGCCCCAAAAGAAGACACCTAGCTAATGTTCATGAAAACTTGCCAAAAAAAAGGATCAATTCTAAAATCCTTATAATAATAAAAATCATTTAATTTTAAATTTGGCACATCCTATTAATAGCATAGTCTATAATAACCATGGGCTCTATTGCGTTTTTTATTTGTACTATAAGGGCCGACAGGTCAAGCCGGCCCATAGAAGACCACACCTCTCGGCTGTGGTGGCAGGCAGCGGTACCTGTCGGCTTCTGGTGGCAGGTACCAGTCCGACAGGTGACGTCATCCCTAAAGCAAGTACACTGTGCAATCCATGGTCACGGACATGATTCAACAGCAGCAGGACCTATGCTGCATGTCGAAGGTATTGCGCAACTATGCCGTTTGAAGGTCACGATTCTAAATGTTGAAGCTACTGAGAAGGGCACTAGCACCTATGCCTGCACTATACAATCAGTTATACTTATATAAAAAAATCTTTCTCAAGCAACAATGCTTCATACAAGCACAAAATTAATATTCTGCACTCAGAGTCAAATACCCCCACGTGGGCATGGAGTTTTTACCTAAGGCGGACGCCAGCGCCTGGTCCCTCCAGCTGCCGCCCGCTACGGTCGAGCAGCGGGTGCTGCCGTTCTGGTACGCCGTGAGGCCGACGCGCATCCACGGCGCCGCCGTCAGCGCCCTTCGGGGACACGGTGGTGCGCGAGGACTTCCCGCTCGCCACCACCGTGTTCCCGTCGCTGGAGGACCTACACATTGGCGAGTGCACGCTCGCTGCCAGTATGAGCGTCACGTCAGACACCATGCCTCGCCTCAAACACCTCCGCTTCACCGACGTCACCGTGAGGACGGATGACACCAAAGCCGCCGTCACCGTGCTCGCCGATGACCTCAGGACTCTCCGCATGTCATGCCGTTGGTACAGCAAGACTGAATCGCCATCGGAGCCACTGTTGTTCTTGTGTCACTCGGGCGTCACAGCCGTGTTCACCAAATACTCGTTGTTCCGCTTACGCGCACCCAAGCTGGCGGTGTTCGAGTGGCGATGCTGCTATGCTGACGAGGTGCGCATTGAGGCCGTGGGCCGCCTATCCGAGGTCGCCATCGAGGTTGACGGCGGTAGGACGCGCACGCCGACTCCGATTGGCACGGAGCCCAAGTACGTGACAATACAACAACGTGACAAACTTGTGACCGACATCCTTCAAGGGCTTATGCCTGGGCTGCAGCCACGCACTTGGAAAGATGTTACGAGGTATGTATATACTCGACTTTAATTTCAGACTGTTATTACACACACAAAAAAAATCTCAAGTAGACAGGTCGTAAATTTGTTTGACTTTCATGGATAGATCTACATATACAAATTCCCAGCCATGTTTTGAAAGTCATTGATGGTCCAAGTTTAAATTGTTTTACTAAATATTAGTAAACGGGTCGAGCATCTATGAGCCAAGCTAGTCTTTATCTTATATACTATTAGTAATTATTAGAGGCCCCAAAGAAGACACCTAGCTAATGTTCATGAAAACTTGCCAAGAAAAAAAAGGATCAATTCTAAAAATCCTTATAATAATAAAAATCATTTAATTTTAAATTTGGCACATCCTATTAATAGCATAGTCTATAATAGCCATGGGCTCTATTGCGTTTTTTATTTGTACAATAATCTGACATGAGGGCCGACAGGTCAAGCCGGCCCATAGAAGACCGATAGGACACCTCTTGGCTGTGGTGGCAGGTACCTGTCCGACAGGTGACGTCATCCCTAAAGCAAGTACTCTGTGCAATCCATGGTCACGGAATGATTCAACAGCAGGACCTATGCTGCATGTCGAAGGTATTGCCAAACTATGCTGTTTGAAGGTCATGATTCTGAATGTTGAAGCTATTGAGAAGGGCACTAGCACCTATGCCTGCACTATACAATCAGTTATACTTAAATGAAAAAAATCTCTGTCAAGCAACAATGCTTCATACAAGCACAAAATTAATATTCTGCACTCAGAGTCAAATACCCCCACGTGGGCAAGGAGTTCTTACCTGAGGCGGACGCCAGCGCCTGGTCCCTCCAGCTGCCGCCCGCTACGGTCGAGCAGCAGGTGCTGCCGTTCTGGTACGCCGTGAGGCCGCCACGCATCCACGGCGCCGCCGTCAGCGCCCTTCGAGGACACGGTGGTGCGCGAGGACTTCCCGCTCGCCGCCACCGTGTTCCCATCGCTGGAGGACCTGCACATCGGCGAGTGCACGCTCGCTGCCAGTATGAGCGTCACGTCGGACACCATGCCTCGCCTCAAACACCTCCGCTTCATCGACATCAGCGTGAGGACGGATTACACCAAAGCCGCCGTCACCGTGCTCGCCGACGACCTCAGGACTCTCCGCATGTCATGCCGTTGGTACAGCAAGACTGAATCTCCATCGGAGCCGCTGTTGTTCTTGTGTCACTCGGGCGTCACAGCCATGTTCACCAAATACTCATTGTTCCGCTTAAGCGCACCCAAGCTGGCGGTGTTCGAGTGGCGATGCTGCTATGCTGACGAGGTGTGCATTGAGGCCGTGGGCCGCATCTCCGATGTCGCCATCGACGTTGACGCCGGTAGGACGCGCTCGCCCACTCCGATTGGCACGGAACCCAAGTACGTGACAATACAACAATGTGACAAACTTTTGACCGACATCCTTCAAGGGCTTATGCCAGGGCTGCAGCCGTGCACTTGGAAAGATGTGACGAGGTATGTATATACTCGACTTTAATTTCAGACTGTTATTACACACACACACAAAATCTCAAGTAGATAGGTCGTAAATTTGTTTGACTTCCATGGATATATCTACATATACAAATTCTCAGCCTTGTTTTGAAAGTCATTGATGGTCCAAGTTTAAATTGTTTTGCTAAATGTTAGTAAACGGGTCGAGCAACTATGAGCCAAGCTAGTCTTTATCTTATATACTATTAGTAATTATTAGAGGCCCCAGAGAAGACTCCTAGCTAATGTTCATGAAAACTTGCCCAGAAAAAAAGGATCAATTCTAAAAATCCTTATAATAATAAAAAACATTTAATTTTAAATTTGGCACATCATATTAATATCATAGTCTATAATAGCCACGGGCTATATTGCGTTTTCTATTTGTACAATAATCTGACATGAGGGCCGACAGGTCAAGCCGGCCCATAGAAGACCGATAGGACAACTCTCGGCTGTGGTGGCAGGTACCAGTCCGACAGGTGGCGTCATCCCTAAAGCAAGTACTCTGTGCAATCCATGGTCACGGACATGATTCAACAGCAGGACCTATGCTACATGTCGAAGGTATTGCGCAACTATGCTGTTTGAAGGTCACGATTCTGAATGTTAAGCTATTGAGAAGGGCACTAGCACCTATGACTGCACTATACAATCAGTTATAGTTATATAAAAAAAATCTCTGTCAAGCAACAATGCTTCATACAAGCACAAAATTAATATTCTGCACTCAGAGTCAAATACCCCCACGTGGACAAGGAGTTCTTACCTGAGGCGGACACCGGCGCCTGGTCCCTCCAGCTACCGCCCGCTACGATCGAGCAGCAGGTGCTGCCGTTCTGGTACGCCGTGAGGCCGCCGCGCATCCACGGCGCTGCCGTCAACGCCCTTTGGGGACATGGTGGTGCGCGAGGACTTCCCGCTCGCCGCCACCGTATTCCCGTCGCTGGAAGACCTGCACATCGGCGAGTGCACGCTCGCTGCAAGTATGAGAGTCACGTCGAACACCATGCCTCGTCTCAATCACCTCCGCTTCACCGACGTCAACGTGAGGACGGATGACACCAAAACCGCCGTCACCGTGCTCGCCGATGACCTCAGGACTCTCCGCATGTCATGCCGTTGGTACAGCAAGACTGAATCGCCATGGGAGCCGCTGTTGTTCTTGTGTCACTCGGGCATCACAGCCGTGTTCACCAAATACTCGTTGTTCCGCTTACGCGCACCCAAGCTGGCGGTGTTCGAGTGGCGATGCTGCTATGCTGACGAGGTGCGCATTGAGGCCGTTGGCCGCCTCTCCGATGTCGCCATCGAGGTTGACGCCGGTAGGAAGCGCACGCCGACTCCGATTGGCACGGAACCCAAGTACGTGACAATACAACAACGTGACAAACTTGTGACCGACATCCTTCAAGGGCTTATGCCTGGGCTGCAGCCACGCACTTGGAAAGATGTGACGAGGTATGTATATACTCGACTTTAATTTCAGACTGTTATTACACACACACACAAAAATCTCAAGTAGATAGGTCGTAAATTTGTTTGACTTTCATCGATATATCTACATATACAAATTCTCAGCCTTGTTTTGAAAGTCATTGATGGTCCAAGTTTAAATTGTTTTGCTAAATGTTAGTAAACGGGTCGAGCATCTATGAGCCAAGCTAGTCTTTATCTTATATACTATTAGTAATTATTAGAGACCCTAGAGAAGACTCCTAGTTAATGTTCATGAAAACTTGCGAAGAAAAAAAAGGATGAATTCTAAAAATCCTTATAATAATAAAAAACATTTAATTTTAAATTTGGCACATCCTATTAATATCATAGTCTATAATAGCCATGGCCTCTATTGCATTTTTTATTCGTACAATAATCTGACATGTGGGCCGACAGGTCAAGCCGGCCCATAGAAGACCGATAGGACAACTCTCGGCTGTGGTGGCAGGTGCCAGTCCGACTGGTGACGTCATCCCTAAAGCAAGTACTCTGCAATCCATGGTCACGGACATGATTCAACAGCAGGACCTATGCTGCATGTAGAAGGTATTGCGCAACTATGCTGTTTGAAGGTCACGATTCTGAATGTTAAAGCTATTAAGAAGGGGACTAGCACCTTTGCCTGCACTATACAATCAGTCATACTTATATAAAAAAAACCTCTGTCAAGCAACATTGCTTCATGCAAGCACAAAATTAATATTCCGAACTCAGAGTCAAATACCCCCACGTGGGCAAGGAGTTCTTACCTGACGCGGACGCCGGCGCCTGGAGCCTCCAGCTGCCGCCCGCTACGGCCGAGCTGCAGGTGCTGCCCTTCTGGTACGCCGTGAGGCCGCCGCGCATCCACGGCGTCGGCGCCGGCGTCAGCGCCATTCGGGGACACGGTGGTGCGCGAGGACTTCCCGCTCGCCGCCACCGTGTTCCCATCGCTGGAGGACGTACACATCGGGAGTGCACACTCGCTGCCAGTACGAGCGTCACGTCGGACACCATGCCACGCCTCAAACACCTCCGCTTCACCGACGTCAGCGTGAGGACGGATGACACCAAAGCCACCATCACCGTGCTCACCGATGACCTGAGGACTCTCCGCATGTCATGCCGTTGGTACAGCAAGACTGAATCGCCATCGGAGCCGCTGTTGTTCTTGTGTCACTCGGGCGTCACAGCCGTGTTCACCAAATACTCGTTGTTCCGCTTACGCGAACCCAAGCTGGCGGTGTTCGAGTGGCGATGCTGCTATGCTAACGAGGTGCGCATTGAGGCTGTGGGCCGCATCTCCGATGTCGCCATCGAGATTGACGCCGGTAGGACGCGCACGCCGACTCCGATTCGCACGGAACCCAAGTACGTGACAATACAACAACGTGACAAACTAGTGACCGACATCCTTCAAGGGCTTATGCCTGGGTTGCAGCCGCGCACTTGGAAAGATGTCATGAGGTATATGTATACTCCACTTTAATTTCAGACTGTTATTACACACACAAAAAAAAATCTCTGACACAAGTAAATTGGTCGTAAATTTGTTTGACTTTCATGGATATATCTACTTATACAAATTATCATACTTGTTTTGAAAGTCATTGATGGCCCAAGTTTAAATTGTTTTGTTGAATGTTAGTAAACCGGTAGAGCATCTATGAGCCAGGCTAGTCTTTGTCTTATATACTATTAGTAATTATTAGAGACCCTAGAGAAGACTCGTAGCCAATATTCATGAAAACTTGCCAAGAAAAAAAGGATCAATTCTAAAAATCCTTATAATAATAAAAAACATTTAGTTTTAAATTTGGCACATCCTATTAATATCATAGTATATAATAGCCATGGGCTCTATTGCGATTTTTATTTGTACAATAATCTGACATGAGGGCCGACAGGTCAAGCAGGCCCATAGAAGACCGATGGGACACCTCTTGGAGGCAGGCAGCGGTACCGGTCGGCATCTGGAGGGCCGACAGGTTACGTCGTCATCCCTAAAGCAAGTACTCTGTGCAATCCATGGTCACGGACATGATTCAACAGCTGGACCTATGCTGCATGTCGAAGGTATTGCGCAACTATGCTGTTTGAAGGTCATGATTCGGAATGTTCAAGCTATTGAGAAGGGCACTAGCACCTATGCCTGCACTATACAATCAGTTATACTTATATAAAAAAAATCTCAGTCAAGCAACAATGCTTCATACAAGCACAAAATTAATATTCTGCACTCAGAGTCAAATACCCCCACGTGGGCAAGGAGTTCTTTCCTGACGCGGATGCCGGCGCCTGGTCCCTCCAGCTGCTGCCCGCTACGGTCGAGCTGCAGGTGCTGCCGTTCTGGTATGACGTGAGGCCGCCGCGCAGCCACGGCGCCGGCGTCAACGCCATTCGGGGACACGGTGGTGCGCGATGACTTCCCGCTCGCCGCCACCGTGTTCCCATCGCTGGAGGACCTGCACATCGGCGAGTGCACGATCGCTGCCAGTATGAGCGTCACATCGGACACCATGCCTCGCCTCTAACACCTCCGCTTCGCCGACGTCCGCGTGAGGACGGATGACACCAAAGCCGCCATCACCGTGCTCGCCGATGACCTGAGGACTCTCCGCATGTCATGCCGTTGGTACAGCAAGACTGAATCGTCATCGGAGCCGCTGTTGTTCTTGTGTCACTCGGGCGTCACAGCCGTGTTCACCAAATACTCGTTGTTCCGTTTATGCGCACCCATGCTGGCGGTGTTCGAGTGGTGATGCTGCTATGCTGACGAGGTGCGCGTTGAGGCTGTGGGCCGCCTCTCCGATGTCGCCATCGAGGTTGACGCCGGTAGGACGCGCACGCCTTCTCCGATTGGCACGGAACCCAAGTATGTGACAATACAACAACATGACAAACCTTTGACCGACATCCTTCAAGGGCTTATGCCTGGGCTGCAGCCGCGCACTTGGAAAGACGTAACGAGGTATGTATATACTCGACTTTAATTTCAGACTGTTATTACACACACAAAAAAATCTCTGACACAAGTAGATAGGTCGTAAATTTGTTTGATTCTTAGGGATATATCTACATATACAAATTCTCAGCCTTGTTTTGAAAGTCATTGATGGTCCAAGTTTAAATTGTTTTGCTGAATGTTAGTAAACGGGTCGACCATCTATGAGCCAAGCTAGTCTTTATCTTATATACTATTAGCAATTATTAGAGACCCCAGAGAAGACTCCTAGCTAATGTTCATGAAAACTTGCCAGGAAAAAAAAGGATCCATTCTAAAAATCCTTATAATAATGAAAAACATTTAGTTTTAAATTTGGCACATACTATTAATATCAAAGTCTATAATAGCACTGGGCTCTATTGCGTTTTTTATTTGTACAATAATCTGACATGAGCGCCGACAGGTCAAGCCGGCCTTTAGAAGACCGATAGGACACCTCTCGGCTGGGGTGGCAGGCAGCGGTACTGGTCGGCATCTGGACGGCCGACATGTTACTGGACGTCATCACCCCTAAAGCAAATACTCTGTGCAATCCATGGTCACGGACATGATTCAACCGCAGGACCTATGCTGCATGTCGAAGGTATTGCGTAACTATGCTGTTTGAAGGTCTTGATTCTGAATGTTGAAGCTATTGAGAAGGGCACTAGCACCTATGCCTGCACTATACAATCAGTTATACTTATATAAAAAAAATCTCTGTCAAGCAACAATGCTTCATACAAGCACAAAATTAATATTCTGCACTCAGAGTCAAATACCCCCACGTGGGCAAGGAGTTCTTACCTGACACGGACGCCGACGCCTGGTCCCTCCAGTTGCCGCCCGCTACGGTCAAGCTGCAGGTGCTGCCGTTCTGGTACGACGTGAGGCCGCCGCGCAGCCACGGCGCCGGCGTCAGCTCCATTCGGGGACACGGTGGTGCGCGAGGACTTCCCGCTCGCTGCCACCGTGTTTCCGTCGCTAGAGGACCTGCACATCGGCGATTGCACGCTCGCTGCCAGTATGAGCGTCACGTCGGACACCATGCCTTGCCTCTAACACCTCCGCTTCACCGACGTCCGCGTGAGGACGGATGACAACAAAGCCGCCATCACCGTGCTCGCCGATGACCTGAGGACTCTCTGCATGTCATGCCGTTGGTACAGCAAGACTGAATCGCCATCGGAGCCGTTGTTGTTCTTGTGTCACTTTCAGGCGTCTGGCCGTGTAAACCAAATACTCGTTGTTCCGCATATGCGCACCCAAGCTGGCGGTGTTCGAGTGGCGATGCTGCTATGCTGACGAGGTGCGCATTGAGGCCGTGAGCCGCCTCTCCGATGTCGCCATCGAGGTTGACGCCGGTAGGACGTGCACGCCTTCTCCGATTGGCACGGAACCCAAGTACGTGACAATACAATAACGTGACAAACTTGTGACCGACATCCTTCAAGGGCTTATGCCTGGGCTGCAGCCGCGCACTTGGAAAGATGTAACCAGGTATCTATATACTCGACTTTAATTTCAGACTGTTATTACACACACAAAAAAATCTCTGACACAAGTAGATAGGTCATAAATTTGTTTGACTCTCATGGATATATCTACATATACAAATTATCAGCCTTGTTTTGAAAGTCATTGATGGTCCTAGTTTAAATTGTTTTGCTGAATGTTAGTAAACGGGTCAACCATCTATGAGCCAAGCTAGTCTTTATCTTATATACTATTAGTAATTATTAGAGGCCCCAAAGAAGACACCTAGCTAATGTTCATGAAAACTTGCCAAGAAAAAAAAGGATCAATTCTAAAAATCCTTATAACAATAAAAATCATTTAATTTTAAATTTGGCACATCCTATTAATAGCATAGTCTATAATAGCCATGGGCTCTATTGCGTTTTTTATTTGTACTATAAGGGCCGACAGGTCAAGCCGGCCCATAGAAGACCACACCTCTCGGCTGTGGTGGCAGTTAGCGGTACCTGTCGGCTTCTGGTGGCAGGTACCAGTCCGACAGGTGACGTCATCCCTAAAGCAAGTACACTGTGCAATCCATGGTCACGGACATGATTCAACAGCAGCAGGACCTATGCTGCATGTCGAAGGTATTGCGCAACTATGCTGTTTGAAGGACACGATTCTAAATGTTGAAGCTACTGAGAAGGGCACTAGCACCTATGCCTGCACAATACAATCAGTTATACTTATATAAAAAAAATCTTTCTCAAGCAACAATGCTTCATACAAGCACAAAATTAATATTCTGCACTCAGAGTCATACCCCCACGTGGGCATGGACTTTTTACCTAAGGCGGACGCCAGCGCCTGGTCCCTCCAGCTGCCGCCCGCTACGGTCGAGCAGCGGGTGCTGCCGTTCTGGTACGCCGTGAGGCCGACGCGCATCCACGGCGCCGCCGTCAGCGCCCTTCGGGGACACGGTGGTGCGCGAGGACTTCCCGCTCGCCACCACCGTGTTCCCGTCGCTGGAGGACCTACACATTGGCGAGTGCACGCTCGCTGCCAGTATGAGCGTCACGTCAGACACCATGCCTCGCCTCAAACACCTCCGCTTCACCGACGTCACCGTGAGGACGGATGACACCAAAGCCGCCGTCACCATGCTCCTCGATGACCACAGGACTCTCCGCATGTCATGCCGTTGGTACAGCAAGACTAAATCACCATCGGAGCCGCTGTTGTTCTTGTGTCACTCGGGCGTCACAGCCGTGTTCACCAAATACTTGTTCCGCTTACGCGCACCCAAGCTGGCGGTGTTCGAGTGGCGATGCTGCTATGCTGACGAGGTGCGCATTGAGGCCGTGGGCCGCCTCTCCGAGGTCGCCATCGAGGTTGATGCCGGTAGGACGCGCACACCGACTCCGATTGGCACGGAACCCAAGTACGTGACAATACAACAACGTGACAAACTTGTGACCGACATCCTTCAAGGGCTTATGCCTGGGCTGCAGCCACGCACTTGGAAAGATGTGACGAGGTATGTATATACTCGACTTTAATTTCAGACTGTTATTACACACACAAAAAAATCTCAAGTAGATAGGTCGCAAATTTGTTTGACTTTCATCGATATATCTACATATACAAATTCTCAGCCTTGTTTTGAAAGTGATTGATGGTCCAAGTTTAAATTGTTTTGCTAAATGTTAGTAAACGGGTCGAGCATCTATGAGCCAAGCTAGTCTTTATCTTATATACTATTAGTAATTATTAGAGGCCCCAGAGAAGACTCCTGGCTAATGTTCATGAAAACTTGCCAAGAAAAAAAAGAATCAATTCTAAAAATCCTTGTAATAATAAAAATTATTTAATTTTAAATTTGGCACATCCTATTAATATCATAGTCTATAATAGCCATGGGCTCTATTTTGTTTTTTATTTGTACAATAATATGACATGAGGCTCGACAGGTCAAGCCGGCCCATAGAAGACCGATAGGACACCTCTCGGCTGAGGTGGCGGGCAGCGGTACCTCTCGGCTTCTGGAAGGCCGACAGGTGACGTCATCCCTAAAGCAAGTACTCTGTGCAATCCATGTTCACGGACATGATGGACCTATGCTGCATGTCGAAGGTATTGCGCAACTATGCTGTTTGAAGGTCACGATTCTGAATGTTGAAGCTACTGAGAAGGGCACTAGCACCTATGCCTGCACTATACAATCACTTATATAAAAAAATCTCTATCAAGCAACAATGCTTCATACAAGCACAAAATTAATATTCTGCACTTAGAGTCAAATACCCCCACATGGGCAAGGAGTTCTTACCTGAGGCGGACGCCGGCGCCTAGTCCCTCCAGCTGCCGCCCGCTACGGTCGAGCAGCTGGTGCTGCGTTCTGGTACGCCGTGAGGCCTCCGCGCATCCACGGCGCCGCTGTCAGCGCCCTTCGGGGACACGGTGGTGCGCGAGGACTTCCCGCTCGCCGCCACCGTGTTCCCGTCGCTGGAGGACCTGCACATCGGTGAGTGCACGCTCGCTGCCAGTATGAGCGTCACGTCGGACACCATGCCTCGCCTCAAACACCTCCCCTTCACCGACGTCAGCGTGAGGATGGATGACACCAAAGCCGTCGTCACCGTGCTCGTCGATGACCTCAGGACTCTCCGCATGTCATGCCGTTGGTATAGCAAGATTGAATCGCCATCGGAGCCGCTGTTGTTCTTGTGTCACTCGGGCGTCACAGCCGTGTTCACCAAATACTCGTTGTTCCGCTTACGCGCACCCAAGCTGGCGGTGTTCGAGTGGCGATGCTGCTATGCTGACGAGGTGCGCATTGAGGCCGTGGGTCGCCTCTCCGATGTCGCCATCGAGGTTGACGCCGGTAGGACGCGCACGCCGACTCCAATTGGCCCGGAACCCAAGTACGTGACAATACAACAACGTGACAAACTTGTGACCGACATCCTTCAAGGGATTATGCCTGGGCTGCAGCCACGCACTTGGAAAGGTGTGACGTGGTATGTATATACTCGACTTTAATTTCAGACTGTTATTACACACACAAAAAAATCTCAAGTAGATAGGTCGTAAATTTGTTTGACTTTCATGGATATATCTACATATACAAATTCTCTGCCTTGTTTTGAAAGTCATTGATGGTCCAAGTTTAAATTGTTTTGCTAAATGTTAGTAAACGGGTCGAGCATCTATGAGCCAATCTAGTCTTTATCTTATATATTATTAGTAATTATTAGAGACCCCAGAGAAGACTCCTAGCTAATGTTCATGAAAACTTGCCAAGAAAAAAAAGGATTAATTCTAAAAATCCTTATAATAATAAAAAACATTTAATTTTAAATTTGGCACATCCTATTAATATCATAGTCTATAATAGCTATGGGCTCTATTGCGTTTTTTATTTGTACAATAATCTGACATGAGGGCCGACAGGTCAAGCCGGCCCATAGAAGACCGATAGGACACCTCTTGGCTGTGGTGGCAGGTACCTGTCCGACAGGTGACGTCATCCCTAAAGCAAGTACACTGTGCAATCCATGGTCACGGACATGATTCAACAGCAGCAGGACCTATGCTGCATGTCGAAGGTATTGCGCAACTATGCTGTTTGAAGGACACGATTCTAAATGTTGAAGCTACTGAGAAGGGCACTAGCACCTATGCCTGCACAATACAATCAGTTATACTTATATAAAAAAAATCTTTCTCAAGCAACAATGCTTCATACAAGCACAAAATTAATATTCTGCACTTCAGAGTCATACCCCCAATGGGCATGGACTTTTTACCAAAAGGGACGCTTGCGCACTGGTCCCTCCAGCTTGCCGCCCTTCTACGGTCGAGCAGCGGGTGCTGCCGTTCTGGTACGCCGTGAGGCCGACGCGCATCCACGGCGCCGCCGTCAGCGCCCTTCGGGGACACGGTGGTGCGCGAGGACTTCCCGCTCGCCACCACCGTGTTCCCGTCGCTGGAGGACCTGCACATTGGCGAGTGCACGCTCGCTGCCAGTATGAGCGTCACGTCAGACACCATGCCTCGCCTCAAACACCTCCGCTTCACCGACGTCACCGTGAGGACGGATGACACCAAAGCCGCCGTCACCAGGCTCGCCGACGACCACAGGACTCTCCGCATGTCATGCCGTTGGTACAGCAAGACTGAATCTCCATCGGAGCCGCTGTTGTTCTTGTGTCACTCGGGCATCACAGCCATGTTCACCAAATACTCGTTGTTCCTCTTACGCGCACCCAAGCTGGCGGTGTTCGAGTGGCGATGCTGCTATGCTGACGAGGTGCGCATTGAGGCCGTTGGCCGCATCTCCGATGTCGCCATCGACGTTGACGCCGGTAGGACGCGCTCGCCCACTCCGATTGGCACGGAACCCAAGTACGTGACAATACAACAACGTGACAAACTTGTGACCGACATCCTTCAAGGGCTTATGCCTGGGCTGCAGCCACGCACTTGGAAAGATGTGACGAGGTATGTATATACTCGACTTTAATTTCAGACTGTTATTACACACACACACAAAAATCTCAAGTAGATAGGTCGTAAATTTGTTTGACTTTCATCGATATATCTACATATACAAATTCTCAGCCTTGTTTTGAAAGTCATTGATGGTCCAAGTTTAAATTGTTTTGCTAAATGTTAGTAAACGGGTCGAGCATCTATGAGCCAAGTTAGTCTTTATCTTATATACTATTAGTAATTATTAGAGACCCTAGAGAAGACTCCTAGTTAATGTTCATGAAAACTTGCGAAGAAAAAAAGGGTGAATTCTAAAAATCCTTATAATAATAAAAAACATTTAATTTTAAATTTGGCACATCCTATTAATATCATAGTCTATAATAGCCATGGGCTCTATTGCATTTTTTATTTGTACAATAATCTGACATGTGGGCCGACAGGTCAAGCCGGCCCATAGAAGACCGATAGGACAACTCTCGGCTGTGGTGGCAGGTGCCAGTCCGACTGGTGACGTCATCCCTAAAGCAAGTACTCTGCAATCCATGGTCACGGACATGATTCAACAGCAGGACCTATGCTGCATGTCGAAGGTATTGCGCAACTATGCTGTTTGAAGGTCACGATTCTGAATGTTAAAGCTATTAAGAAGGGGACTAGCACCTTTGCCTGCACTATACAATCAGTCATACTTATATAAAAAAACCTCTGTCAAGCAACATTGCTTCATGCAAGCACAAAATTAATATTCCGAACTCAGAGTCAAATACCCCCACGTGGGCAAGGAGTTCTTACCTGACGCGGACGCCGGCGCCTGGTGCCTCCAGCTGCCGCCCGCTACGGCCGAGCTGCAGGTGCTGCCCTTCTGGTACGCCGTGAGGCCGCCGCGCATCCACGGCGTCGGCGCCGGCGTCAGCGCCATTCGGGGACACGGTGGTGAACGAGGACTTCCAGCTCGCCGCCACCATGTTCCCATCGCTGGAGGACGTACACATCGGGAGTGCACACTCGCTGCCAGTACGAGCGTCACGTCGGACACCATGCCACGCCTCAAACACCTCCGCTTCACCGACGTCAGCGTGAGGACGGATGACACCAAAGCCACCATCACCGTGCTCACCGATGACCTGAGGACTCTCCGCATGTCATGCCGTTGGTACAGCAAGACTGAATCGCCATCGGAGCCGCTGTTGTTCTTGTGTCACTCGGGCGTCACGGCCGTGTTCACCAAATACTCGTTGTTCTGCTTACGCGAACCCAAGCTGGCGGTGTTCGAGTGGCGATGCTGCTATGCTAACGAGGTGCGCATTGAGGCCGTTGGCCGCCTCTCCGATGTCGCCATCGAGGTTGACTTCCATGGATATATCTACATATACAAATTCTCAGCCTTGTTTTGAAAGTCATTGATGGTCCAAGTTTAAATTGTTTTGCTAAATGTTAGTAAACAGGTCGAGCATCTATGAGCCAAGCTAGTCTTTATCTTATATATTGTTAGTAATTATTAGAGACCCCATAGAAGACTCCTAGCTAATGTTCATGAAAACTTGCCAAGAAAAAAAAGGTCAATTCTAAAAATCCTTATAATGATAAAAAACATTTAATTTTAAATTTGGCACATCCTATTAATATCATAGTCTATAATAGCCACGGGCTATATTGCGTTTTTTATTTGTACAATAATCTGACATGAGGGCCGACAGGTCAAGCCGGCCCATAGAAGACCGATAGGACAACTCTCGGCTGTGGTGGCAGGTACCAGTCCGACAGGTAGCGTCATCCCTAAAGCAAGTACTCTGAGCAATCCATGGTCACGGACATGATTCAACAGCAGGACCTATGCTACATGTCGAAGGTATTGCGCAACTATGCTGTTTGAAGGTCACGATTCTGAATGTTAAGCTATTGAGAAGGGCACTAGCACCTATGACTGCACTATACAATCAGTTATAGTTATATAAAAAAAATCTCTGTCAAGCAATAATGCTTCATACAAGCACAAAATTTATATTCTGCACTCAGAGTCAAATACCCCCACGTGGGCAAGGAGTTCTTACCTGAGGCGGACGCCGGCGCCTGGTCCCTCCAGCTACCGCCCGCTACGATCGAGCAGCAGGTGCTGCCGTTCTGGTACGCCGCGAGGCCGCCGCGCATCCACGGCGCTGCCGTCAACGCCCTTTGGGGACATGGTGGTGCGCGAGGACTTCCCGCTCGCCGCCACCGTATTCCCGTCGTTGGAGGACCTGCACATCGGCGAGTGCACGCTCGCTGCAAGTATGAGAGTCACGTCGAACACCATGCCTCGTCTCAATCACCTCCGCTTCACCGGCGTCAACGCGAGGACGGATGACACCAAAGCCGCCATCACCGTGCTCGCCGATGACCTCAGGACTCTCCGCATGTCATGCCGTTGGTACAGCAAGACTGAATCGCCATCGGAGCCGCTGTTGTTCTTGTGTCACTCGGGCATCACAGCCGTGTTCACCAAATACTCGTTGTTCCGCTTACGCGCACCCAAGCTGGCGGTGTTCGAGTGGCGATGCTGCTATGCTGACGAGGTGCGCATTGAGGCCGTTGGCCGCCTCTCCGATGTCGCCATCGAGGTTGACGCCGGTAGGAAGCGCACGCCGACTCCGATTGGCACGGAACCCAAGTACGTGACATACAACAACGTGACAAACTTGTGACCGACATCCTTCAAGGGCTTATGCCTGGGCTGCAGCCACACACTTGGAAAGATGTGACGAGGTATGTATATACTCGACTTTAATTTCAGACTGTTATTACACACACACACACAAATCTCAAGTAGATAGGTCGTAAATTTGTTTGACTTTCATCGATATATCTACATATACAAATTCTCAGCCTTGTTTTGAAAGTCATTGATGGTCCAAGTTTAAATTGTTTTGCTAAATGTTAGTAAACGGGTCGAGCATCTATGAGCCAAGCTAGTCTTTATCTTATATACTATTAGTAATTATTAGAGACCCTAGAGAAGACTCCTAGTTAATGTTCATGAAAACTTGCGAAGAAAAAAAAGGATGAATTCTAAAAATCCTTATAATAATAAAAACATTTAATTTTAAATTTGGCACATCCTATTAATATCGCATAGTCTATAATAGCCATGGGCTCTATTGCATTTTTATTCGTACAATAATCTGACATGTGGGCCGACAGGTCAAGCCGGCCCATAGAAGACCGATAGGACAACTCTCGGCTGTGGTGGCAGGTGCCAGTCCGACTGGTGACGTCATCCCTAAAGCAAGTACTCTGCAATCCATGGTCACGGACATGATTCAACAGCAGGACCTATGCTGCATGTCGAAGGTATTGCGCAACTATGCTGTTTGAAGGTCACGATTCTGAATGTTAAAGCTATTAAGAAGGGGACTAGCACCTTTGCCTGCACTATACAATCAGTCATACTTATATAAAAAAACCTCTGTCAAGCAACATTGCTTCATGCAAGCACAAAATTAATATTCCGAACTCAGAGTCAAATACCACGTGGGCAAGGAGTTCTTACGGCGCGGACGCTTGGCGCTGGTGCCTCCAGCTGCCGCCCGCTACGGCCGAGCTGCAGGTGCTGCCCTTCTGGTACGCCGTGAGGCCGCCGCGCATCCACGGCGTCGGCGCCGGCGTCAGCGCCATTCGGGGACACGGTGGTGCGCGAGGACTTCCCGCTCGCCGCCACCGTGTTCCCATCGCTGGAGGACGTACACATCGGGAGTGCACACTCGCTGCCAGTACGAGCGTCACGTCGGACACCATGCCACGCCTCAAACACCTCCGCTTCACCGACGTCAGCGTGAGGACGGATGACACCAAAGCCACCATCACCGTGCTCACCGATGACCTGAGGACTCTCCGCATGTCATGCCGTTGGTACAGCAAGACTGAATCGCCATCGCCAGACGCTGTTGTTCTTGTGTCACACGGGCGGCGTCACTGGCGTGTTCACCAAATACTCGTTGTTCCGCTTACGCGAACCCAAGCTGGCGGTGTTCGAGTGGCGATGCTGCTATGCTAACGAGGTGCGCATTGAGGCTGTGGGCCGCATCTCCGATGTCGCCATCGAGATTGACGCCGGTAGGACGCGCACGCCGACTCCGATTCGCACGGAACCCAAGTACATGACAATACAACAACGTGACAAACTAGTGACCGACATCCTTCAAGGGCTTATGCCTGGGTTGCAGCTGCACACTTGGAAAGATGTCATGAGGTATATGTATACTCCACTTTAATTTCAGACTGTTATTACACACACAAAAAAAAATCTCTGACACAAGTAAATAGGTCGTAAATTTGTTTGACTTTCATGGATATATCTACTTATACAAATTATCATACTTGTTTTGAAAGTCATTGATGGCCCAAGTTTAAATTGTTTTGTTGAATGTTAGTAAACCGGTAGAGCATCTATGAGCCAGGCTAGTCTTTGTCTTATATACTATTAGTAATTATTAGAGACCCTAGAGAAGACTCGTAGCCAATATTCATGAAAACTTGCCAAGAAAAAAAGGATCAATTCTAAAAATCCTTATAATAATAAAAAACATTTAGTTTTAAATTTGGCACATCCTATTAATATCATAGTATATAATAGCCATGGGCTCTATTGCGATTTTTATTTGTACAATAATCTGACATGAGGGCCGACAGGTCAAGCCGGCCTATAGAAGACCGATAGGACACCTCTCGGCTATGGTGGCAGGCAGCGGTACTGGTCGGCATCTGGACGGCCGACATGTTACTGGACGTCATCACCCCTAAAGCAAATACTCTGTGCAATCCATGGTCACGGACATGATTCAACCGCAGGACCTATGCTGCATGTCGAAGGTATTGCGTAACTATGCTGTTTTGAAGGTCTTGATTCTGAATGTTGAAGCTATTGAGAAGGGCACTAGCACCTATGCCTGCACTATACAATCAGTTATACTTATATAAAAAAATCTCTGTCAAGCAACAATGCTTCATACAAGCATAAAATTAATATTCTGCACTCAGAGTCAAATACCCCCACGTGGGCAAGGAGTTCTTACCTGACACGGACGCCGACGCCTGGTCCCTCCAGCTGCCGCCCGCTATGGTCAAGCTGCAGGTGCTGCCGTTCTAATGACGACGTGAGCCGCCGCGCCGCGCGACGCTGGCGCCAGCGTCAGCTCCATTCGGGAGAGGCGGTGGTGCGCGAGGACTTCCGCTTCGCTGCCACCGTGTTTCCGTCGCTAGAGAGAGACTGCACGCCGGCGATTGCACGCTTCGCTGCCGATATGAGAGCGTCACGTCGGACACCATGCCTTGCCTCTAACACCTCCGCTTCACCGACGTCCGCGTGAGGACGGATGACACCAAAGCCGCCATCACCGTGCTCGCCGATGACCTGAGGACTCTCTGCATGTCATGCCGTTGGTACAGCAAGACTGAATCGCCATCGGAGCCGTTGTTGTTCTTGTGTCACTCGGGCGTCACAGCCGTGTAAACCAAATACTCGTTGTTCCGCTTATGCGCACCCAAGCTGGCGATGTTCGAGTGGCGATGCTGCTATGCTGACGAGGTGCGCATTGAGGCCGTGAGCCGCCTCTCCGATGTCGCCATCGAGGTTGACGCCGGTAGGACGCGCACGCCTTCTCCGATTGGCACGGAACCCAAGTACGTGACAATACAATAACGTGACAAACTTGTGACCGACATCCTTCAAGGGCTTATGCCTGGGCTGCAGCCGCGCACTTGGAAAGATGTAACCAGGTATGTATATACTCGACTTTAATTTCGGACTGTTATTACACACACAAAAAAATCTCTGACACAAGTAGATAGGTCATAAATTTGTTTGACTCTCATGGATATATCTACATATACAAATTATCAGCCTTGTTTTGAAAGTCATTGATGGTCCAAGTTTAAATTGTTTTGCTGAATGTTAGTAAACGGGTCGACAATCTATGAGCCAAGCTAGTCTTTATCTTATATACTATTAGTAATTCTTAGCGACCACAGAGAAGACTCCTGGCTAATATTCATGAAAACTTGCCAGGAAAATAAAGATCAATTCTAAAAATCCTTATAATAATAAAAAACATTTAGTTTTAAATTTGACACATCCTATTAATATCATAGTCTATAATAGCCATTGGCTCTATTGCGTTTTTTATTTGTACAATAATCTGACATGTGGGCCGACAGGTCAAGCAGGCCCATAGAAGACCGATAGGACACCTCTCGGATGTGGTGGCAGGCAGCGGTACCGGTCGGCATCTGGAGGGCGGACAGGTTACTGGACGTCGTCATCCCTAAAGCAAGTACTCTGTGCAATCCATGGTCACGGACATGATTCAACAGCAGGACCTATGCTGCATGTCAAAGGTATTGCGCAACTATGTTGTTTGATGGTCACGATTCTGATTGTTGAAGCTATTGAGAAGGGCCCCAGCACCTATGCCTGCACTATACAATCAGTTATACTTATGTAAAAAAAATCTCTGTCAAGCAACAATGCTTCATACAACCACAAAATTAATATTCTGCACTCAGAGTCAAATACCCCCACGTGGGCAAGGAGTTCTTACCTGACGCGGACGCCGGCGCATTGAGGCCGTGGGCCGCCTCTCCGATGTCGCCATCGAGGTTGACGCCGGTAGGACGCGCACGCCGACTCCGATTGGCACGGAACCCAAGTACGTGACAATACAACAAAGTGACAAACTTGTGACCGACATCCTTCAAGGGCTTATGCCTCGGCTGCAGCCGCGCACTTGGAAAGTTGTAACGAGGTATGTATATACTCGACTTTAATTTCAGACTGTTATTACACACACAAAAAAAAATCTCTGACACAAGTAGATAGGTCATAAATTTGTTTGACTTTCATGGATATATCTACATATACAAATTCTCGGCCATGTTTTGAAAGTCATTGATGGTCCAAGTTTAAACTGTTTTGCCGAATGTTAGTAAACGGGACGACCATCTTTGAGCCAAGCTAGTCTTTATCTTATATAATATTAGTAATTATTAATCTTATATAATATTAGTAATTATTAGAGACCCTAGAGAAGACTCCTAGCTAATGTTCATGAAAACTTGCCTGGAAAAAAAGGATCAATTCTAAAAATCCTTATAAAAATAAAAAAACATTTAGTTTTAAATTTGGCACATCCTATTAATATTATAGTCTATAATAGCCATGGGCTCTATTGCGTTTTTTATTTGTACAATAATCTGACATGAGGGCCGACAGGTCAAGCAGGCCCATAGAAGACCGATAGGACACCTCTCGGATGTGGTGGCAGGCAGCGGTACCGGTCGGCAGCTGGAGGGCTGACCGGTTAGTGCAATCCATGGTCACGGACATGATTCAACAGCAGGACCTATGCTGCATGTCGAAGGTATTGCGCAACTATGCTGTTTGAAGGTCACGATTGTTGAAGCCATTGAGAAGGGCCCTAGCACCTATGCCTGCACTATACAATCAGTTATACTTATATAAAAAAATCTCTGTCAAGCAACAATGCTTCATACAAGCACAAAATTAATATTCTGCACTCAGAGTCAAATACCCCCACGTGGGCAAGGAGTTCTTAGCTGACGTGGACGCCGGCGCCTGGTCCCTCTAGCTGCCGCCCACAACGGTCGAGCTGCAGGTGCCGCCGTTCTAGTACGTCGTGAGGCCGCCGCGCATCCACTGCGCCGGCGTCAGCGCCCTTCGGGGACACGGTGGTGCGCGAGGGCTTCCCACTCGCCGCCACCGTGTTCCCGTTGCTGGAGGCCCTACACATCGACGAGTGCACGCTCGTTGCCAGTATGAGCGTCATGTCGGACACCATGCCTCGCCTCAAACACCTCTGCTTCACCGACGTCAGCGTGAGGACGGATGACACCAAAGCCACCATCACCGTGCTCGCCGATGACCTGAGGACTCTCCGCATGTCATGCCGTTGGTACAGCAAGACTAATTCACCATCAGAGCCGCTGTTGTTCTTGTGTCACTTGGCCGTCACAGCCGTGTTCACCAAATACTCGTTGTTCCGCTTACGCGCACCCAAGCTGGTGGTGTTCGAGTGGCGATGCTATTATGCTGACGATGTGCGCATTTAGGCCGTGGGCCACCTCTCCGATGTCGCCATCGAGGTTGACGCCGGTAGGACGCGCACGCCAACTTCGATTGGCACGGAACCCAAGTACATGACAATACAACAACGTGACAAACTTGTGACCGACATCCTTGAAGGGCTTATGCCTGGGCTGCAGCCGCGCACTTGGAAAGATGTAATGAGGTATGTATATACTCGACTTTAATTTCAGACTGTTATTACACACACAAAAAAATCTCTGACACATGTAGATAGGTCGTAAATTTGTTTGACTTTCATGGATATATCTACATATACAAATTCTCAGCCTTGTTTTGAAAGTCATTGATGGTCCAAGTTTAAATTGTTTTGCTGAATGTTAGTAAATGGGTCAACCATCTGAGCCAAGCTAGTCTTTATCTTATATACTATTAGTAATTATTAGAGACCCTAGACAAGACTCCTAGCTAACTGTTGGGTTCATAAACCTGGGGTCCCTCGTGGACCGGCTTCCCAACAAAAACTTGGCCCAACAAACAACGTTGCGAGCAACGCACAACTCATGGCCTGGCCCAAATACCTAGACAACAGGCCAGAAGGACGATCCAATCTCCGGCCTAAAGGCCTGGCCGAGGAGGAACGGCGCCCGCTTCCGACTCCGGCCCACCTCTTCGACCTGAGCGCTCGCTTCGGTCTCCAGCCTGCCTCCGAACGGTCTCTCCGACCGGAAGGCCTGGCCAAAACGCCACTTCTAACTCCAGCCCGCTTCTCCGACCGGGAAAACACCGGACCCCTGCCTATGGCTCCTCTCCGACTGGCACAATCAAAGCCGACTGGGACCAACCGACCGAGGACACCCGTTCAGTAAGGACCAGGAAATAGACAGGGAAAGTTAGGCTGCGCACTCAAGTCAACCGTAATACCGAGGACCGTACCCTGTACACCTGCAGGATAGTACCCTGTGACCTCCTTGACATGACAGAACGCAAGCAGTGTTGTAGGCGCCGACATTTTCCCTATAGTGTTGTGGGCGCCATCAACTCCCATACCAGACAAATACGATAAGGCTCCCCCCACGTGCCTCTGAGGCATCGATAGTGTTGTGGGCGCCGGCATTTACCGTACCAGGCAAACATGGTAAAACCCCCTGCATGCCTCTCGGTAACAACAGTATAGCAGGTACCGACATCTGTCATACCTGAAGAAGACGACGCAACCTCTCATGTGCATATAAAATTCAACAGTATTGTGGGTGCCTACCATCGTCATGTACCCGCCAGCGTGGGCAGCAAGACTTAGCGGCGAATGTACTCCCTCCCTCTCGCTTGTAAAGCCATCCCCTTCATCTATAAAAGGGGATGCGGTCTCTTCCAACAGATAGGTTGATTCAGATCGATCAAGTTCACTAGTACACAATAGCAGAACCACCAGGTTCAAACCACGACCACACGCTCGAACACTTAACACATAGCGGAGCTCTCGTCGCTCTCGGTCCCTCTAACCAGAGTCCGACCGGATCTCTTGTACCCCCCCATCTTTCTCCTTCTCGTTTGTAACCCCACTGCAAACTTCGAGCACCTGGGCTCAGGAATAAAGTCACCGACCGACTCAAACTGGACATAGGGCATGTTGCCTGAACTAGTATAAACCCTGTGTCATTGAGTGCTAGACCACCTCCGATCACAACATACGGCAAAACTACAAATATTTACGTGTTGGTCACTTTCTGCACCGACACTAATGTTCATGAAAACTTGCCAGAAAAAAAAAGTTGAATTCTAAAAATCCTTATAATAATAAAAAAAATTAGTTTTAAATTTGGCACATCCTATTAACATCATAGTTTATATTAGCCATGTTCTCTATTGCGTTTTTTATTTGTACAATAATCTGACATGAGGGCCGACAGGTCAAGCTGACCCATAGAAGACCGATAGGACACCTCAAGGCTGTGGTGGCAGGCAGTGGTACCTGTCGGCATCTGGAGGGCCACAGGTTACTGGAAGTCGTTATCCCTAAAGCAAGTACTCTGTGCAATCCATGGTCACGAACATGATTCAACAGCGGGACTTTTGCTGCATGTCGAAGGTATTGCGCAACTATGTTGTTTGAAGGTCACAATTCTGAATGTTGAAGCTATTGAGAAGGGCACTAGCACCTATGCTTGCACTATACAATTAGTCATACTTGTATAAAAAAATCTCTGTCAAGCAACAATGCTTCATACAAGCACAAAATTAATATTCTGCACTCAGAGTCAAATACCCCCACGTGGGCAAGGAGTTCTTACCTGACGCGGATGCCAGCGCCTGGTCCCTCCAGCTACCGCCCACTACGGTCGAGCTACAGGTGCTGCCATTCTGGTATGCCGTGAGGCCGCCGCGCATCCACGGCGCCGGTGTCGGCGCCCTTCGGGGACACGGTAGTACACGAGGACTTCCCGCTCGCCGCTACCGTGTTCCCGTCACTGGAGGATCTACACATCGGCGAGTGCACGCGCACTGCCAGTATGAGCGTCACGTCAGACACCATGCCTCGCCACAAACACCTTCGCTTCACCGACGTCAGCGTGAGGACGGATGACACCAAAGCCACGATCACCGTGCTCACCGAAGACCTGAGGACTCTCCGCATGCCATGCCATTGGTACAACAAGACTGAATCACCATCGGAGCCGCTTATGTTCTTGTGTCACTCGGGCGTCACAGCCTTGTTCACCAAGTACTCGTTGTTCCGCTTACGCGCACCCAAGCTGACGGTGTTCGAGTGGCGATGCTGCTATGCTGATGAGGTGCGCATTGAGGCCATGGGCTGCCTCTCCGATGTCGCCACACGCCGGTAGGACGCGCACGCCGATTCCGATTGGCACGGAACCCAAGTACATGACAATACAACAACGTGACAAACTTGTGACCGACATCCTTCAAGGGCTTATACCTGGGCTGCAGCCGCGCACTTGGAAAGATGTAACGAGGTATGAATATACTCGACTTTAGTTTCAAAGTGTTATTACACACACAAAAAAAATCTCTGACACAAGTAGATAGGTCATAAATTTGTTAGACTTTCATGGATATATCTACATATGTAAATTCTCAGCCTTGTTTTGAGAGTCATTGATGGTCCAAGTTTAAATTGTTTTGCTGAATGTTAGTAAACGAGTCGAGCATCTATGAGCCAAGCTAGTCTTTGTCTTATATACTATTAGTAATTATTAGAGACCCTAGAGAAGACTCCTTGTTGAAACTGGAAGTTTCAGACAACGTGGGGGAGATAGAGGCCTCCGCCCGCTTAGCGTCGCCCTCGGGCGGAGACTCGGGATAGGCACAACAGGTGAGCGTGTAGGACACTGGCACAGAAAGCTAGAGTTTCATTAATTCATCCACCACCCGCCTTCACGGTTACAAGTGTTCCCTATTTATAGGGCTCAACTGCTTCTTGACATAATTTATTACAATGCCCCTCAACTGCTACAGTACATTCCCAGAATATTCCGCCACTAGTCTCTTGTTTGCGGGGCAATCCTGCCACACCGTCTTCAAGTAACGGGCCTCCATGAGCGGCCGGCCCACCGTGCCTCGGTCTTCGGCCCAAAGGCCTGGGTTCCCGACGCTGGCCTCCGTCTTCAGGGATGCGCCGTTGCCTTGGTGGGTCTCCACCGGTCCGGTCGGAGACATCATCCGTAGGTCTCCGCCCGGCCGCGCGGGGGCCATGGTTCCCGACGCTGGCCTCCGTCTTCAGGGGGGCGCCGTTGCCTTGGCGGGTCTCCACCGGTCCGGTCGAAGACATCATCCGTAGGTCTCCGCCCGACCATACGGGGGCCATGCTGGCGCGCTCGCGCGGACCACGGGCGCCTGCACTTGAGTACCTGCACACACTTAGGCAAGATTGTTTGTTTGATTAGTTCAGAGGTAGGGCGGCCTCCGCCCTTATCGCTGGAGACGCCCGTGAGCCGAAGCGAGGCGGCGTCCGCCTGCTCGGTCGGAGATGTCTGTGCCTGGCCCGGGCGGAATCCGCGACAAGCTCGCTGAGCCTCGTGCAGCGCCCTTCGAACATAGCCAGGAAAGTTCCTTTAGTCAGCGCCAGGTCTCTGCCCTAAGATGGTCAAAGACGCCTTGGCGACACCTCGCTGTCGGAGGCCTTCGCCACCCGCCGAAGCCGTGTTACAACAGTTCCCCCCTTTTGAGACCATGGTTCGCCCGAGCGTGCCATGAGCTCAAAACGCCTTGACCAAAGGCGTCTGTGGGGGCGGAGGCCATACGCATTGGCGTCTTCGAGTGAGGCCCCACTACTTCCCCCCTGGCTCGCTCTGGCGTGGCCGCTGGTCTCGTTGAGAGTAGCCGTTGGGCAGCAAATCTAGCCGTTGTCCTATGGTGCGGCCGTTTATGTCGTGTTAGTTTCCATTATATACCTTGCGACTTTTTTGGAGATGACCGTTGTGCGGCAGGCGAATTCTCCGGAGATGACCATTGTATGGCGAGAGCCGGACCGCCTACCCGCGGCCTATATAAGGGTGTTGTTGGTGGCGGGGTCCCCCCCGCATTGCTCATTCGCTTTCGTTGCCTCTAAGAAATCGCTCTCTGCTCTCTTCGCTTTCGCCTTTTGCTGCCCTCGCACGTTCTGTCTTTCTACCTGCGTCTCGCGCTTAGGCTGCTGTCGCGGTGGCTTTCTTTTCTGCCTCCGCCCAAACTCGTCGGCCCGCCTTTTTCGGACGCTATCGCCACCTTCTCGGCGTTAGGGCCGTCGGCTGGGGTGCGTGTTTTGAGGTGTGCATGCTTGCCTCTGCCTCCACGTTGGAGTTTGAAAAGCTAGTGGAGGAGGATTTGGGGAGTGTCTCTGCGTCCGTCGGAGACCTGATTGCTGCGGATCCTAGAGATATGGCGATTAAGTCTTGGGATTTCGGCCCCTCCTCCATTACTGAAGAGGCAATTGCGGAGATGTTGAAGGAATCGTGTTTTCCTTCTTTGAGGGTAAAAATCCCTCCGCCTGGCCAGACTGTTCTAGAAGATATGCGGTGGTCTTTCG